GGTAATGGTAAGTAACAAATAGTAATAACATTAGTAAGAACATTAATTACCAATAAAGTTACGGTAATTTTTAATATAATATTATTCAATAATATATGGGATATAATATCCTAAAGCTATTGTGATAGTAATTATGACATTAATAATTGTTATTAATGAGTGATGTAGTTTTACTAAGAAATTAAATTATTATTAGGGTATCCATAATGACAGTGAAGACTTATTCAAGTGAATTTAATAAATTGAACAAAAGAACTGCTCTATAAGATAGCTGGATGCCTTTTGAATGCAGCAATTTAGCTTCCTTCTAAGTGAGGAACTCATGGTCGGGGAGCCCTGACTAGAAGTGGTGCTGGCCGGTGTCTAGTGCCTAATGTTGCCTCTTCCGGTGGTGGTTTTTAGCTGTTTTCCATCACACTAGACCAGAAGGTGGTGTCTCTGGGTCGGATATTTTCCGCTTTTTCAGTCTTTCGGGAAAGTCACTCTAGCTCTCTAAAGAGCGTATACTTGTGGGTACTCGTGCTCCAACCCCTGTAGAAGAGGGGAATATAGATTAAGCGGCTTAAGGTCTAAAGAAGGCCGACCCGTAGTATGCCAGTGCCAAAAAGAAAGAAAAAAACTTATCATCGTCCAGGAAGGGATCCCTCCGCACCCTCTCACTTGCGGGAAGGTAGATTGAGTATGTAAGTTATTGTACACACTGCGACTGTAGCGTGCCAGTGCAATTATAAATAAAGGACTTGCATTAACTTTTATTAAAGTAAATACTTATTAATAATTTAGTTATGTTCCATGTCTTTGTTTAAGTACATTTCAACAAAAAAGAGTAAATACATAATGGAATATTAGAAAGTAAAAATGTCTTAAAATTTTTTCTTTGCCAGTGTACCTTAATTTTTTTTCACTACAGCTTCAGTTAAACTTCCACTTTTATCTTCAATAAAGAGATTAAAGCCTACAGTGCAATCTTTTCTGTGAGTTATCGATATCTAATAACATTCCATATGTCTAAAGTTGACTAATGATTTAGGAACTTTGGTGATCTTAAAAATAATAAGGAAAACACTTCAAGGCAGCACTAGAAAGAGAGTTAATATAAATCTATATACCTTCATTTGTTTTTAAATTTATTAGTTTCCTCTTAACTTTAGATATTTCAATTAGTTTTTTAATTTCATTTAAATCCACGTTCCACTGACGATAAAAAGAATTTTTTATAAAAAATATATATTTTTTACGTTACATGAAATTTTTTAATGCAGTGGAACTATGAAGACCAACTGCATCAAGTTTTACTATAGGTTTACTGAATATTTTTATTAACTTTCTATTTTATCTTTTTAACTTTTTTTGATATTTAACATTGGATATTTAACGGAAAAGTTTTACTTATATACTAGGTTATACGTATATATACACGTTTTATTTTTATGAGCGAATCGCGTTTTTCAACGTCAATTACCCTTTTTTTACTTTATAATTGTAATTTTTTTAATAATAAGACACAAAATAAAAATTACCTGTATATACAAGTCTGATAATAGTTTAATTTTTACTTTTTTAAATAAATTTAAAAAAAATTTGTACATGAGTAATTGACTTACCTCAGAAAAAATTAAATTGTAAGCGTTGTTCATTTAACCTTATTATCCATTGTTATTTACTTATACAACTTTAAAGCTTCTGTTTATAACATTTTTTTAAATCAGTAATATTTTAAAATTATTCTCAACGAAATTTTCTTACTAGGTAATTAAATATGAAATATTTTTTTTATTTTTAAAGATCACCTTGAAGATGAATAAAACCCAGCACAACTTTTATCTTACCGAGGAAAACTCACGCTATCAATATATATTTAAAGAAAAGATCACTGCAGTCCTGAATCTATTAGTTGCTTTGTTAAATTTATTTGAAAAAGGAGTTCTCGTGATCCGCGAAGTTTACGAAATTTCTCTTGCTTCAACTTGCTTTAGTAGTAAAAGTATTGTTATGCAAAAATATACTTGTGTTGCCCATTTCATATATAAAGAACTCGTAATAACTTAAAATCCTTTAATTTTTTTTTAAATTTTTTATTTAATTATAGTTTAAGGTTAATATATTTATATTTTAAATAGAGCATATGTAATTTGTGTAACAGTTTTAGTTAACCGAGATTGAATTTTAAAAATTTTTAACCCTTTATTTAGAATCTACATTTTTTCGTGTAGTTTATTTATATAAGTTAATAAATTAGCTACAAATTAATTATTTTAGCTTTTGTTAGACTTTTTTACAGGATATTTTCAATTTATTTAGGAATATTTTGTTAATTTTTTAAAGACAATTGGCTTAATAAATTTAAAAACTATTTTAGTTGTCAATCGCATTATCATTTTTTAGAAATGGTTAAGTTAGTTTTTTAATAGTTAATTTATTAATTTAATAATATTTTTTTAATATTAATGTATAATGTATAAATTTGAGAATGAAAGAATTAATTTAAGAATTTTTTTAAAAAGATATACTTTTAATTTACTTTTTAGTCCGCTATTTATTGTTATCATTATTTAAAAGTTTTATATCACTAATGCACAATTTAAGAGTTGATACTATTTATGAAATATTCTTTTTCTTTTTTTTTGGTTCATAATTTTTTATAATCTTTTTTTGTAGGTTATTTCTAAGGAGAGCAAATATAAACTAAAAGCTTTTGTTTATTTTTATAAAATCATTTTTTGCTGATTCTTAAATAAATTTATTTTTTTTTTAAATAAATTTTAATTTTTAGTTTAAAGAGTTAATTTACTTTTATATATTAATTACAAAATAACTCCTTTTTATTAGTAAATTTGCTAATAAGAATTATTTTTTTAGGAAATAGGCTTACTAAATTATATAACTTTTTATGGTTTTATAATAAATCTAGTTAATTTATTTACTAATATATTAAATTACATTTATCTGTACTCGATAGACTTCTGCTGATTCAGGTGATGCCGACGCACAATTTCAAATAGCTTATTTACTATATCGTGGTATTTATTAAGTTTTATATTATTTATTTAAAGATTTACTTTTAACTTTTTAATTAAAAATTTAATAATTAATTACTTTTTAAAATTTAATTAATTTATAGATATTTAGTGTTTCTTAGAATATTAAGTTTCATATTAAATTACGGTGTTTTTTAACATATTATGTAATTTACTTAATTATTTTAGAAAAATTAAAATTAATTTACCTTTTGCTATTGCGTTATAAATATATTTCCATAACTAATATTAATATTGAAGCCACTATTAAGAATAAATAAAAAAGAACAGCTTATGATTGATTTATTTATATATCTTAAGGAGCCTGTTGATTATATGACCCAATCACAATGTGCAGTTAAAAAAAGGAGTAGATCCCACATAACTGAGGGTATGCTCTTTGCATTTCTATTAATTTTAACTGGTAGATTTAATCTATTGAGATTATTTTAAAGTTGTATATCTATACATTCATTTTAATTCAATAAAAACAAGATTCGATCTTTTTAATATGGCTTCTTTTCAATCTCTAGGGCTGTAAAGAAGTCTCAGCTTTATTATCTAAAGAGCAATTCTAATATATTGTTTTGGTCTCTAGGGGCGAACAATGTGTTGTTAGTAACTATCTACAGGACAGTTTATTAGGAGCTTAACTTCTAGAGGGCGTGTGTATTTTTAAAGGAGTCTAAAAGCTTGAAAGGAAATTTTAAACAGTGCTCTTATAAGTGTATTCTTTGACCAAAAAATTAAGGTAAAAGAATAAATTTAATACTTTCAAGGACTTTTTAACTGTTCGCTCTTTTAAATTTATAAATATTTTAAAGTAAACTAAAATTTTTACTAAATACTCTTTTGGAATTTTTTAAATGTTTAAATTTTTATAGTATTATATTAAGTTCGAAAGATGGTTTAATAATAAAATAAAATAACATTACCTTAAAGCCGGATGGGCTTTAGCCTATACTGAGTTTTTTTTAATTTTTTATAAAATACTTTAGAACTTAATTACTTTTTACTATTATACAATACAGTATTAAAGATCTTAAATTTTTTTAACATATTTTTAATTTTTAAATAAAGATTTTTATTTTTCACGATGCCATTATGTTATTATTAACATGCATTTATACACTACGAAAACTCGCGGGCAATTTATATTCAAGTGAATAAATTTTCTACACTTTTGCATGAAAAGTCTTTAGATTTCGGCTAACTGCAATTTTTTTTAGCAAGTCAATTTTTTTTTAATATACTTGGATTGAATCTTATTGGAAAAATAAAATATTTAAGAAACTACTGACTTCAGCAGTACAGCCCCTTTTATAAAGTAAGTACAACTTTTAATAAAATCCTCTTATCCTATTATGTATATAAAGTGAAACGTTAAAAAGCTCACGGAATTGCGTTGCATTTCTCCCGTAAAACATCTTTTTCTCTTTTTTTAAAATCTTATTATAAAGGAAAAAATTAAAACAAGTTTATTTTATTTTCACTTTTGCTGTAAGTTTGTATAATCATTTTCAAATTCTTTTATAAACGAATATAAACTATTTTATTAGTAGTTGGTTAAAATGAGTTGTGGCACTGGAAATTTCACGATTAAAAATTAATGCTTTAGTGATATTATCTGAAGTTTTTTTTAATTTTTATTAAATTTATTTTATAGGATGCACATCAATAACTTTTTATTTATAATTATTGGGATTCTCTCAAAGCTATTATTCTACTGTTTACTATATTTTTTTAAAACAGTAATATTTTTTTTAGTTTCTTCAATTTTTTTATTTTTCTTTAATTTTTAATAATTAAAAATTTTATTTTTTACTTAAAAATTTTGACAATTTGTTCTTGGTATATATTTTTTGGCTTATTAATTTGTAACCTTTTTTTTAAAATTTAAAAACTTCTATTGCTCTCTTTATAATATTTTCTACTATTTTTTACAGTTCTGTTATCCATTATCCCATATTTATGCAGGTATCGGTTTTAAAGAAGATATAGAAAATAGTGATCTAATTTATAAAGAAATGGCTCAAAAAGGACACCTTTATGCACAAGTTATTAATTATATTACTATAATTATAGGTTTCAATAAAACAATTGTTATTATTATTAATTTTTCATAAAACTATAAGCGCAAAAAATATTTTGGGATTTTTTTAAATCTTTTTAATATAAATCCTTATTACATTTATCTAATGCATATTTTCTTATGATTATTTTAACTGCAGTATACACGATTCATTGCTTTTTTTAAATTTATAAGCCTATTAGTGACTATAAGCTCTAGTTTAATAAATAAATATTTACTAAGCTGCAAATAAAACTTTAAACTGTTTAGAAGTAGCTAGTATATTAGAAGGGCACAGTTATTCTCGAAGGACTTATCGTGACCCCGAGGGTTTTTTTGTATACGACGTGTTTAGCCATTTACTTGGGCATGTAGTAACTCCATTAAAAAAAATATATGGAAACCTTCCTATTCCTAAAGGCTAGTTTTTATTATATATATATATATATAAGAGAGCATATTTAATAACCGATAATTTTGAGAACTTTTTTTTGCTAAACTTACCACTTCTTTCGAGCCTGGAAAACAGCCAAATAGTTCATCGTTGCCTTTTTTTATGATATACCATTAAACCACTACAGCTTCAGTTTGGGGCCAAGAGCACGAAAGGAGAAGGAATCAAGTAGGACGCCGCTGTGGCGCTTCGCTCCTTGAAGTAGCGGCTGTAATCAATGCTTCAGGCGAGCAACCTCATTGGTGTATTACTTTTATAATAAATAGTATAATAAAATAACGTTTTTTATTGGTTAAAGGCGAAATTTATAGTAAAGGTATTTCCCCCTTTCATAGAAGTTAATGAAAAAGGTGCTCTACTATTTTAAAAAAGCAGCAGCGGACGGTAATATTAAAAATAAAGTTTTTTTTTCCATCGTAATAGGCAATCCCTTTGGTTTTCATGATCTAGAGATTCACTAGAGAAGGAAAAGTAATTATTTAATTCGTAACTCGAGTTATTGACTGTGCGTGCGCCTGAAGAGTAATTTTAATAACAAGTAAATATATGTAGTGATGGTCCGGTTGCATAATAATACAAATAAAATTCTACAAGTAAAGCTTGTTATATTACATTAAATAAAATGCACCACTGATAGTAAAAAGTAGTGGCAGTTATCAAATTTTGTACAGTTTCAGTACTTTTTACTATAAATAATTTTATTAGGCTTAATAATTTTTTAAACTCTTTTTGGCTTCAGGGCACACTGAAAGGTATGCGAAAGTCGGCCTACATGGGAAACCCCCCATCAATGTTTCACGTTTATCCTTGTATTTACTACTTCATTCACAATAATAATGTTCATGGAATTTATGGTTTTATTAATTTAAAAAAAATTATAATTAAATACTTCTATTGTCTACAGCCCTTTTCATTACTTAAATTCTAACTTCAAAGCAATTTGTACAGAATAATAAGGCTTGCGCTGCGGTTACAAACCGCAATGCAATTATAAAAAGCGAATGAATGGATAAACTGTCTTGAAAAAATAGTCAAAATAAATAATGACATGCCTTCAAAGAAAGTTTACATAAAATAATATAATAGAAATTGTACTGCGCTACATACTGGAAAGCTACATATCTTATCGCAGTTAAGAACCCAGCTTTTTAATTGTGTCACTTTTTACGCAGTCATAACTTAAGTTTTTTTTATAAATAAAATGCTAGCGAATAATGGCTCACTGGAAACACAGTATTTTTTTTCTTTATTACCTTAATAGATTTTATTAAGCAACACATATTATGTTTATATGATGGGACAATTGTCTACAAAAGAGCACAGCTTATTGTATTTAACCCTCGCTCTCTTTATATACTAAATAATATTAGGCATAAAATTAGATTCTCAATAACTCATTTTTTTTAGACCAAAATATTTAAGGTATTTTTTATACATTAAACAGGATTAAAAGTTCAACAGTTTAAATATTTACCTCATTATTACAATATTAACTTTTAGGTTAATAGGATACTCTGGAGTTTTTATAGACTTTCATAGCTTTATTTTAAGCACACTAAGATTTTTTTTTATATTTTTATAAAATATTAAAGTAAAGTAAGCAGTATTCTTTTGGTTATACTAATATAAAACTATTAAGGGCTTTCTTTCTTGTCTTCCTTTTAAAATCGGCTTCGCTATTATAAAAAACCACTACAAAATTTTAGTGGACTAGGAGTGAATCAACGTTCTTACAGATCACTAACCAGCATTTAAAATATTATTTTCTATCAGATGATAAAGAGAATATTTTTCAAATTAACCTAATACATAATAATATTATCATGTTATATGCTTTTTTAATCATAGCAATATTTTAAATACCGACTAAGATGACATTTAGTTGCGACTAAGATTTAACATGACTACCTTTTTTATTTTTTTAAAATGAACAGTATAAAAAAGTAATATTAACAAAAAAAGCAATTAGAGTCACAGGTTAAGATTTACTTAACGTGGGTTTGTTTATACTCTAAGAGACTCCTCAAAATTTTAACTCACTTGATACGCATAATTAGTTACTTTTCCAATAAATTTGTCGTTAAATGTGCACTGGATGTTTCTTAGGTAGTTGATTGGTTTACGCACGAATCTTTATTCCTGTAGAAATTTAGGGGGTTCATGCCTTGCCTAGGATGGTTTATGTGGTTTATACCCAATTATAATATTTACTCTAGTATTCTATATTTTTTGTTTCTAAATTTGTTTTTTATTTTCATATTTTTGAGTCTTTCGTATTTTGTGTTATAAACTGTGGGTTTTGAATACTTTGTTATTGTGTAAGACTTTCCACGACATTTATTTTGAACTCACTCTTTTTCTTTCTGGTCGACGTAGCCGTGTTACTCCCCTATATTTACTACTTTCCTATAATAAAAAGTTATATATTCCAAATATAAACTTAAAAACTGTTATACTCGTGCATACTCTCTCGCCAAATTATCATTTATTACATATTAAACAAAAAGTAAATAAAAATTACTTTATTAATACCCAAAACTTAAAAACTTAAAGTAAAACCGTTCTAGCAATTTTTGTTGCGGGTAAAAGAAAATAGTATACTTTTAAATATACCCACAACCCGTATGCCCCGTGAACGCCCTCAGCTATTATTCGGGGATCCAAAGTCGTTTTCTCTATGGAAGTATATATTTACAATAAAGCTGTATATAAATCTCAAGTTAAAATAATAAAATGCCCATTTTATACTGTGGCTACCATAAAGTTCTAAAACAGCACCGTTCTAATTCTAATTAGTCAGCATTAAAATTTACTATAAACTATTATTAAAATTACTAAATGCTAAAGACATGTTTACTGCTAAATAATAATGTTACTTAAACTTCTAAATTAAATTTTGTAGGTATGGTTCGTTATACAAAACGTTTAATTATATTTGTTTTCGTTATAAGCTTATTAATTAAAAATTATATATTTACGAAACTAACTTTTTATATAAATCAACTTTTACTATTAAATCAGTTACACCAAAAGTTTTTACTTGATACAACGGAATCCCTTAATCCTTAAGCCAAATGACAATGCATTCTAGAGGTCAAAGGCAAATACAAAGCAAAACTTATAAAAGAAATAATACAGGGTATAAATCGAAAACAGAGTCTATAAATACGACGCCTTCTACAATCCACTGTTTAAATTTTTCAATAGTATATATCTTAAAATATTTCTTATTTCTACATACACTTAATTTAGTACCTTAAATATACTAGTTTACTATGTCCAAAACAGAAAAGACGCAGAAGAGCTTTCACCCCTTCGTTTTTGCCCTGGGTGCGTAACCCTCCTCCTGTAGTTATAAATTTAGCTTGATAATAGTTATAATATTACAGGCCTGATCACCCATTAAAAAGACTAGCGAGGGAACTATGTAATTTCGCCAAGGAAACCTTTATAAGTGAACTTTTTTTTATTAGGTAGAGCTTTAAACTCTGAGATTTCCCGTAAAATTTAAAATACTAAACTTTTAATCTTTTTTTATACGTGGGCTGGAATACTGTCTGGTTTATAAAAAAATAATAATTTTTATTTAAGTATTGTTAAGAGTAAGTTAATATGTTAACAATGAAAAATTTGAGAACCTGCTTGGAAGAACTTCCCCCTTCAAATACTCTTGTTTTTGTACTTGATGAATCAATTTTTTTTTCTGTTCCCCCTTTTCTTTATTACGCTTATCAACGTTTTTCAAAGGTATTGACTTTTCAGGTTAGTTTCTCTGTTACGTTACAATGGCGTAATTTTTGCTAATATATTTATAATTTAGCTAGGAGTCGAAGTTTCTAGAAGTCTTTTTGTTTCTATTACTTCTGCTGTTTTAATTTTACTCGTTGGAAGAAATTTAGAGCTTCTTAATAAAGAAATTAAACCTTTCTTTTCTTTATGCAATTTTTGTGAGATTTATTGTTTTTGCGCTTTAAGTGAAAAATTCCCTCGCTCCAATGAAGGTTCATAATGTTTAGTAGTATACTTTTCTATATGAGAAGAATTAAAAGAATTTTTAGTACCTTACACTTTTATAAATATATTTTTTTATTTGTAATTTTTATTACTCCCACTGTTTGTAATTGTTTAATATGTTTATTACACAACTTTAGCATAAACATCTTAGATACTAAATATTTATAGTTTTGCTATTGAAATTGTATATTTTCTTTTATACTTTTTTTTATGAATCTCACTTTATAATATTGGCTTCTAAGTTATTTTAAAAAAATCTTTAAACTTATTTACTACTTTATGAGTAAAAAGTTTTTAGTTATTAATAAGTTTTACTTTAAAAGATTTTGAAGATTGCATTCATTCTTATGAGAAAGATTGGAAGGTATTTTTTTATAACCTTTTTATTAAGGAGGGCTACTTTATATAGCATAGACATTTTTATATTTTATTGTGAGTTTTATATTTGAAAGTATTCTAATCTATAAGAAAAAATAACAATTATAATATGCAAAATTTTGGAGGAAAGAAGGTTTGAGCTGTCGAAGTATCTGTTTATTTTTTTTAAGTTAAATTATTCATTCACAGTGAGGCATTGTGCTATAATATAAAATAAACGACACAATCACTCAAAGCGAGACAGGATTTCTATTATTAAGCTTTTGTTATATTATATTAAAATATTTAAAAAGCTCAAGTAAGCGGGCGTTATTAATTTAACGTGTGAACTTATAATAAACTTAAAGAAAAACTTGCTTTATAAGTAATCCAAAAAAAAAACGAATAGTCAATATCTGTCAGTAAACTCCGGAAGGGCTCATATTTATCACGAATTAGCGCGAACTTAAAGTCTTCACTAAATTTCGTGGGTGCCCAAAACCACCAATTTTGAGTTTGCCGTTTGCCACTATAAAGTCTAATAACAGAACTATATAAGCAGCTGGATTGACCAGCTTGGGGAGATTTTATAAAAAAAAGGCTTCTTTTATTTTTTATAGGAATTCATTTTACAAAAAAAAATTTTTTAAATTTGAATTTCTTTATTTTATTGTTGTCTATAACTAATTACAGAAGACGTATAAATTTAAATGTTTTAAAAAGATTTAGTTTATTAATATTTTATAAATATCAGAATTCTCTGCAACAAAACTTTGAAAATGCTAATCCAGCTATCTTAATCAGGTTGGTTAACTGTAATCTTCAAATTTTATAAATAGTTTCTTAATTCTTATTAATATAGTTATTTATAGCATTTATAATAAAGTAGATTATTTTTCTAGCAAAAATATTTGAAAGTATCTATTTGTATAGTAGAAATTCTTTTGTAAGCATTTCAAAAACTTAATAACCTGACCTTTTTCTTTTACTAAAGATAAACGAATCAAAAAATATAAAAATTAACAGTATTATACTAAAACCTATATAAAGATATAAATAACAGAATTTATGACTTTTGCAGTGTTTCCAGTGCCTTCTTGCACCCGTTTTAATATTCATGTGATCTTAGTCGGCGTTATTATGCTACATAATATAATTAATATAATGTATATTAATCTATTTATTATATTTGTTAATATTTTGCATAAATTTAACAATTAATATTTTTTAACAAAATCTAATTATTGTTATTATTTTTTTAAGAACCTAAGATAAATTTATTAATGAGGCACGAAGTTTAATTTATAATTATATTAATATATTTTTAATTCACAAAATTTCAATTTTAACTTTAATATGTTTTAACAATTTTACATTTCATCCATTTGTATTTTTATAGGCACGAATGTTTTTACTTAATCATGAGTACGTCCATAGACTTTTTTTATAATTGCATAATTCTAACAGTACTACTTTTTACTTTAATGAGTAAACTTTTTATAATGCTGCTTTTTTTTTTTTAAATAGTTTCCTTAGTTGATTAAATAAATGTTATAAGTAAATCAATTGCATGTATTTAATCAATGTTATTAATTAAATTTTTTTAAAAAGAACTTTTTAAAGTTTCTTTTAATTAATATGATTAAACGTTGTAATCTTTTTTTAATTTGATATTCAACAAAAAATTTTGCATAGAATAATAATTTATTTAACTTTCAATAAAATTGATTAAATTAAAGTTTCATACAATTTTAATTTTTAATTTTATTTATTAATATACCTTACAAAGATTTTTTAAACTGAATTAGTTTAAATATACTTTTTTTCAAATATAATACCTACCTATAAACCGATTCTAAATAACATAAAGGTAAATTAACTAGAATTAAACTGAGTGTAATAAAATAAAGGAATTAAGGATTAATCGAGATAATAAAAATAAATTATTAATTAAATAAACTGACTCAACTTGAATATAGCCAAATAATATAATATAATCGATACTGGATTTATTAAATTAGCTGGAAATCCTTTAACTAAAAATAAGGCGTGAAAAATTTTATTATCTTTTTAAATTTTTTTTTATGAAATTGTACTTTTTTTAATATAAATGTTTTTCACATAAATCTTTAGTATTTTAACTTATTTTTGTAAATTTTTAATTAATTTTAAAATATCTGTTATCAATTTACTACAGGGACGAGCTTTGTATTCGTTGCATTTTTGATTATATTAAATTTATTCTTATTGAAATTTTTTTTAGATTAATCAATTTCTTATAATCTTTATAATAATACTGATTTTCTTTTAAAGTTTACATTTTCAAATTTAATTATAAAAAAACTTTTAGTTATACATTTATCGTTTCTTATTATTATGGAAATAAAAGGCCTGAGGTTTCCTTGAATTTTTCTGAGCCGCTAAAAAACGTTTTACTATTTGGGGGGCACTCTGAACTTTTCCCGATTGTTCCATTGGATTTGGTGCATATAAATGGTAGCCGTTTAGTTACCTTTATCTTTTTTTGGATGGTTTTATAGCACATGTTTTGTTCAGTATATTATTATTATTGTTATTATCATTATCATTATTATTATACAGCGCATCTCCGGCTGAGTCGCTCTCGTGCAATCCACGACGTGGACTCATTAACTATTGAGCTTCTACCTTCTCACGTGGCTGATAAAATACGACTTTTTTCTGCTGCTTTAGTATAAAAAATATTATTAATATATTTAATATCAACACTTAATATAATAACCTATAAAAATTTTTTATAAACATGAAATATTATAAAAACGTGCTTCACATTGACTGTATTTTCCACCAATGAAGCCGTTTGGCTTTTCTACTATTTATAGCTATTATGCTTCTATTTCATTTCGATTACTAATTATTTGTATTGAGTTTATAATTATTATTATTTTCTACCAGAAGGTATCAATTAACTTCTGCCTCTTTTCTATAATATATTTTATCTTTGCTTTGTTTATATAATAGTAATATCTACTATATTATTTTTATTAATAAAAATGCTTAACAGTTTATTTTATACGTTTTAGTGGGAAGTTCTTCAAAGTTTTAAACTTCACTCTTCTGTGTTTGTCATGGGAACCTTGGCAAAACTTATTGGAGAAGAATATAATAGTATGCAAAGCAAAGCACTACGGGATGGTATTATTATATAATAATAATAATCATAAAAAAGATTCGACGTATTCTTTGTTCTACTGATTAGAGCGATATTTAATATTATATATACCAAAAAAAATCAGGTGGGCCTCCGTGTATTAGAAATCCTTAATAAAATTTATAATAAATAGTTAATTATATATTATTAATAAAAACGCGTTTTTATGATTAATTTCATAGAAAATAATTTTTTAAAGGAAATTATATCTAATATATAAAAAACTAAAATTTCATTATAGTATTTGAGAAAAAACAGTGTTTTTGCCCACAAGCGTGCACAATGAGGAGTAAAGCATTGACTTATTATTATTTTCCGATTGGTAGGAAGCCCGAATTGCTCGCTCGTCCTTGTGGACAGGAGCTTTGATTTCTGCGCGGCTGTAGGGCACCACTCCCAGTCCCTTTTGGACGACCTCTTCAACTCTCTTCCTGCTAGAACTGGCCACGTGGATGTGCACGTGGATGTGTCACACGCGTATTCTGGCGATAAAAAAGGTTCTTTCTTGGCCAGCTTGTTAACTGATTGGCTGTTTTTCTAATCTGGTTTAGTTATGACTGTTATTTTATTTTCCTAAAAAGTTGTGAATTATACTGGAAGTTTAGAGTGCACCACTATTGGCTAATACGGTTTACTAAATGAAATGCATTAATTTTTGCTACCCATTTAAATTGAGGTTGGCAGCAAGTTGTGTTAATTGCGCATAAATAATATGTTTTGAGGGTTTTTATCATGCTAGTGAGCCCTTTTATTGGCTTTTTCGTTTTTATAATGATTTTTAATGCGCTCATTCATCATTTTTTTTAAAAGTTGGGCCCATCGATAGCGGCCGGATATTTCATGCCAAAAGCAAACAAAATGGTTGGTTAATAGACAGCCTTGGCAGGCAAGAAAGGCGAGAGTCATTATTATTATTAAAAGAAGTTCGTAATTATTATTATTATTATTATTATTATTATTATTATCACTATTAATATTTTATTTATAAAGAAAGCACTTGAATGTCTTGAGAAAGAACATATAAAAGTTCCTGCTAACTTGGTTTCCCAGCCAACCACAGAATTGTTCAACTTTCTGCTTAGCGCTTTTTCAAAATCTTCTTTTTCTGTTTTAAGAAAAGTTAATATTAATACTCTTTATAATAATAATTATTAATTATTATATTTTTATTAAAAGAATACCGAGTTTATAGAATTGTTAGCTGGCACTAAGCTGGCTCTAAACTTTTTTAAGAAATCGCAATGGGCGGAAAAGTTTACTAGCGAAAAGGCATCGATTTCGTATAAAATCTTATAATTATAATTGCAATTCAAATATTATAAGGATCTTTTATTGGCAACCATGGGTGGTTGTGACCAATCAGAGCTTGTGAAACTATTTTCAAAATTTGCTTCCAAGTTTCCCTTGGAGGTTGCTTTTGTTAATAATTGCTGTTGGTGGATTTTAAAACTGGTTACTTTTTTTGTATTCGATCCAATTTGTGTTAACTTACGGCAAATAATTATGTAACATGTCACTAATTATATAATTGTATGCGATTGGTCAAAAAATATTTTACTTCTTTTTGGCGCGCTCATCTTGAGCCAATTGGCTGCCTACGATTTATGTGTTTGGTTTAAAAATTTAATATAGCTTAAACGGTGTTTTTTGTTCAGCCAGTCCTTAGTGATTTCTTGTGGCCATTAATAGGTTACTATTAAGTGATGGCTATATGAAACATAAAATATTTATAGCAGCAGCTCTTTCTATTATTGACTGTTTTAAAATGTTTTCTTACGTCATTGGCTTAACAAATTTAGGATCTTCTTCGTTATTGTTTATTTTTTGCGTCGTTGATGGGCGACGAGCTGACGTTGACTTCCTCGTCGTTGCAAAACTTATTGGTGTTTTTAAAAAGTTCATACAAAGAAAAAGTTGAAGTACTTCTATTATTATTACTATAGAAAACTTCAAGTATACATAATTATAAAACGTAATAAAACAAAAATTTTATGAAATTATATTTTTAAAGAAAAATAAATTTTAATGGAATTAGAAATTATAATTTATAGTAAAATTTTATAAATTGAATATATTTTCTTAAGCTACTCGAGTGTCATTATAAAATGCCTTTGGAAATTATTCTAAAACGAATATTATCCGTTTCGCATATACGTAATAAGTTTCCTTCGATTAGGTTTTTTATTATTATTATACTTCTATTTCTTATTATTATTATGTAAACAGTACTCTTCACCAAAAAGGCAGAGTAGGCCGAACTAACACTCAATACAATCCATTACTACTACAACTTTTCGAAGTTTATTATTATTATTGCTATTATTAGTGGTTTTATTACTATTTTACTATTATTATTGTTATTTTACTTTAGAATATATTTGAGCCTACCGCTTCTCATCCGTCTTATTTGGAGTATCTTCCTTTAGAACCGTCTTCAACTTTTCGTTTTGGACTTGACTTTCGGTTCTTCTTATTTTTTTTTAAGTGTAAAAGAATTTTTTTAAAATTTTTTTATTAGTATAATCATTGTTTGCCGTGCCAGTCATGTGACTTAGAAAATTGTTCCTAATATGACACGTATGTAGTTATAGAAAAAGCCAATGGCAAAGTTATAAGAATTTAAAATCCCCTCTTAATTATTTTATGGCCACAGGAGCCTAGATTCCCGGTGCTTATTTGTTATTTTTTCTTTAAGAGCTTTCCTGACAAATAAGCCTTCTTTAACCGATCACAAGACCATATTCCTTTGTGTCATTGGCGGAATTACTTTTGACGAAATTCGGCATCTTCGTGCCATTACTGACCAATTTCCCGCCTTTAAAGTATTTTTATTGGCAATTAAAAATCCTTAAATAAAACATCGAAGTATTGTTCTGCCAATAATTTTTACTAATTCATGATTTATTATATAATGAAGGTTATCATTGGCAGTACGAGAATAGCTACGCATGAAAATACGCTCTCCTCCGTTCTAACGCCTTTTTTTTAGTTGGTATAACCTTTGTACTCTCTTGGAAGTGTAAGTATGAAAAAGAAATATATTTTTTTTATAGAGAAAAGTAATGTTTTCTAGCATTTCACATTAATAAAGGAGTAATAAATAAATTATAAATTTGTTGTTAACATTATTACAAAAAACTACAAGTATTGGTAAGAAAAAGAATTTATTTATTGGTAATTAAAAAGAGCTATAAAATAGTAGAAAATAAAAAGTAACATGCCAAATAATTTAGCCGCTGGAAGGCTCTTTTTTTATTAGAAAAAACTTTAAGGCTTGTTAAAATTAATAATAAACGGCAGTGCGCTAAAGTAGTTTTTGTTAGGGAAAGTAAGCATTATTTTCGTGAATCCTTTGTCAAAAAATAGCCTTTTCAAGCAAAAGAGACAAAACAGTATAATAGATATAAGAACAGGCCGGTAGAGCAGGCGACTATAGGTAAATGCATTCGGCACGGAAGTATCCATATATGAGTGATTCGCACAAAAAGTTAGTTTTGTAATAAACAAGAACGATTTTGTTAAAGTTGACTTTTGATAACTAGTAAAGAATAAGTTTTACTTTAATATAAGAAATAAGATGTAATCGTTTTTAAAAATTTTTTGCTTTTTAAGAGTTACCGGTAAATAGTAGCCGAAAAAATAAGATAACAGAAATCTCAAAAAGCTGGATATAAAGTAATAATAAAATTAAATTATAGCATATTTATTGCCTTCAGGGCTCTAACTTTAGTTGGAAAAATATAAATATACAGTAAGTTTATTAATATTTGGAACAATCCCTTCTACCCCATACAACTATCATTATGTGAAAATGCTTAAGAAGGATTCAAGTCATTCCTATTATTAAAAAAATGTATAACAATGAGCCTGCACTTCACCTATGCAGCCACAAATTAAATTTTAAAATTTTCTTTAAGTTATCACTTATATCAAGCGCTGTATACTAGGTATAAATAATACTATATAGCGGTAAAAATCATAGCAATAGCTCAAATTCTAACATTCTTATCGCACAGCGCGACGCTCGCATGAATTGCATATCCCACCTAGTATGACATACGCGTTTGCAGGCTTAGGCCTGTCATTCACCGGCAATAGTCAGTCATTTCAAATAATTATTTTGACGATGGGGGTTCATATTATAATCCTGTGCGTTGATTACAAATTTTTATATTGAAACTCGAACATTTCTTTGATTTAAGTTTATATTCTCAAATACTCTACTGAAGGCTATAAAAATTATGTTTTTTATTAACCAGATTGAACACTAGAAAATACTATTCGTTATTTACAATATTTGGAAAAAATAATACCGAAGGTAAGTACGAGGTCAGATTCTATTGTTGAGTCATTGTTAGCTTTTAGCTAAATATTAAACATATGGAATTGTTGCCTTATGTAAATATGTGCCGGCATGTAGTCTAATAAAATTTGCTTTCACCCTTCTTTTTTTGTTTTTTTTGTCTCCTTGTCTCTTAATCTGTTTTGTAAAACAATTACGTGTACACACATTATTAAAACCAATACAGGCAGACTTAGCCACTTTTATTTTCTATATGTTAGCGCTATACGCAATTTATTGGACTGTAGTGGTCGCATTTCTAGTCCATTCTATTTTTCCTGTGCTATTCAGTTTATTATGATACTCGTCTTCTGTATTGTTATGAAAAATTTAATATAGATGGGTTTTGCAACTCCTAATCATTTTTACAGAAATTACTACCTTCTCGGGAGGTTACTAAAAATACGAAAACTTTCTGGTGAACTAAATTTTTTTTTAAAAGCCTTGAATTTAATTTTGGGAGAATTATTTAATGTTATGCGCTACAAAAAAAGAGTAATAATGGTTGATGACAAACTTACATGCTCTTCTAGAAGTACTAAATGCGCATGATATACTAATTGTATAATAAATTATGCAAGCTAATCGTTAAGGATTATAAACGATAAGGCAAATTTAATATGTTATCTGATTATAAATAAATTTTGACTGAAATAAATTTTAAATAAATGATAAAATTTTGAATGGTTACGGAAAAACCTGTAAGTTGATTTATACCAAATTACTTTAACAATTTTAAAATATTGTAATATTGTCCAAAGCAGGATAGGTATATGTAATTATATTGAGTGAGATTTGAGGAATCAGAATTCGTGTTTACTATGAATTATGTCTGTAATGTATAGGAAGAGTAATCGTAATTGATCCTTTAATTTCTATCAACATATAAGAAAACCTTACATATGTCATAACTTCTGAAGAAAATATTTTATATTGTATTACTAAAAATAAAAACAAGATTAATTTTTAACTATTTCTTTGTAAGCGTGTATTCATATATATTTATATTATCTTTAATATAACACATACTTTTTATTTTCGCCTTTGAAATAACTATTTTACTAATTAAAATCAAATATTTAGCATTACTTCATAAATAAAGACAGAATAATGTGTGGAGTAATCTTAAGCAATAATATAATCCTCTTGTCATAGTTTAAGAAGTAACGATCTTAATAGTTTTAGGAAAACCTGCCATTATATTTTATTTTATGGCTATTTGCATAAAATATCAGATTATTACGCGAGTAAATATCTTAACAGCAATGCCTTAGGCTTTTATAAACAAATCTATGTCTGGTGCTTTAAGTTCTACTACAAAAAAAATTTGTTATAACAAAGCCTGTCTTACTGGAATAGGAGGGGGCTTCGGTTTGAAGGTATTGAACTTAATTAGGATAAATTTGTTATTACAAAATTGTTCAGGTCTTGTGACAAATGCTCTACAGTTAGAGAATATTCAAGCTGTTAATCTCAACGGTTTTTAGTACCCTTGAGGTACATGAACTATAAGGCCTTGCAAAGCAATCAACCCACGTTTTCCTATTCTTTCAGTTACGAAGATAAATAGTTAATTGGCCTGCAAAGTATTTAAATGTTTAAATAAATCTTAAAAGTATTAAAAGAGTTTATAGAAACTTAGCCCTACTCAATGGGCATCCATTATCGTGGTTACTAATGGCTGTTAATGTTACTCTAACAGAGCAAAGGAATGGTTGTAGTATATTTATTTACTTACAATTCGAAAGTGAAACATGGTACACTAAATATCGAAATAGTCCAAAATTTTTGCAAACTGTAAATAATATTGTTAGTAATTTTTATTTTACAAGTAGTAAGGAATGCATTTTTACAATTTGCAAGAGATAACCTTAAAGCAACCTAAAACAGAGTTTTTACTACTATGTTCTAAAGTTGATCCCCCCTCCCCCCCAAAAAGTTAAGTACTCGGGCAGTAAATTTTATAAATTTAAAACGAGAAGCCATAACTTATATGAAGTTTGAAAGCACAACCTTCTATAGAATGCTTTTGTTACACTTTAAAACGGCGAAATATTGATGTTCTAATAAACTACTTTACTGCGCAACAAAATTTCTCGGTCCATGATCAGCCACATATTTTTTTCACTTATAGCTTGTTAAGTATAAGAAAGAAAGAGAATTTACTTTCATTATTTTTAAATATTCAAATAGAACTCCCGCCAAATATGTATAAAGCTATAAATAGAATATCTTTTTTTGGCTGAAAACTTTTTACAGATAGTTTGCCCGACCCCGCACTGGGAGCAAACCTCTGCAAGTAATAAGTGAGTGGCTTTCGGGTTGGTATAGTTTAAAACCTGACAGAGTATAGTTTACTAATTTTTCGCCTTCTTCGTACTTTCTTGCAAGATATGAGTTAAATAAAAAAATTTGCCATGAATTTGGAACCCACCGATCCTTTGTTCACTCTACCTTCTGCAATTCATCTTACAGATGGTCATTCTCTGGACTTCCTGCTTTATTTCTTTAAAAATTTTATGTATAAGCTTATTATTGATTATAGTTGTGGAAGGCGTACCTTTGTGTTCAGACTCTTATTACTTTACTAAAATTGATTGTGAAGAGCCTAAAGAAGAACTTCTTAAAGAAATATCCGATCAACATCTCCAGTTACTTTTGGCAGCTAAAGATATTGCTTCTCACACGTAAACCATCTGAACGAATTTTATAAATTCATAGCTAATATTTTTAAGTAACTTTTTTACAAATGCTTTTAGTAAATTTTTTAGAGTCATTTTTCTTTCCAGTCACGTGAAATTTTGAAGAATTCTTTTTACAGTTTTATAATCTTTTCATAAAAGGAGTTTAACTGTTGAAGAATGTTTTGATCTCAGCGATCTTCCTTACTCCGTTCAGGAAAAGTTGAGTGGAACCATCCTTGCGGATTCTCGATCTTGCGGGGATAGGTTGGGCATCAGAGCTGTTGATGCCAGCTGCCACTTGGCCTCTACACTCTCCACTCGCGATCAGTCGAGGACAGTTTTATCCAATGTACCTTGGTGGACACAACCTCTCTATATATACTTCTCTGTGGATTAAAAAAGATCATTTTTTTTTTGTTCCACAGGGACAGTACGCTTGTTGAAGATTGCTCCGGCCCACGATCTTGGCTCAGTCCGGCCGTTACTCCCTTGAAAGCTTCTCAGAATCAAATTTTTTATACTTTTAAGGGCGACGTAAGACCAGAGGCACCCCCTCCACCAGCAACTACGAGCTTTTGCAATTTAATTTCCTCTGAACTTGCTCCCACTTTTGCTTCGCAGCCCCCTGAAAATCTTCCATATTGCGATAACCTAGCGTATCCGCAGGGAAAGTTTTTTGCGATGCCTTCCCTTTCCTTGCCCCGCTCTGCACACTTCCGCCTCCCACCAGCTATTCTTCAAGGGGATTTTATTACAGCCCATCCACGTGTTCCCCCGCTCCAAGAACCTTCGCCCACAACAGACGCCGACCCGTTTTTTACTCGCGAGCCACCTCAAGAACCTCCAATAATTGGTTTGAAGCAAGCCGAACAAAGTCAAAAGCAAAATGACTTTTCTATAAGTAAAAAGAAGCGGATAACGGCAGGCAGCGCTGAAATGGACCAATTAGAAAGCACTAAAGACACTAAACCATCTCCTATTCCCCAGACTCATTTAGAATATCCAATCACTGGTCATAGATTAGTCGAGCAAAGTGAGAAGAGGCGAATAGTAAAGGAAATCGCAAATCAAAGTAGTAATATTAATAATAACTAATCTATCAGAAATTTCTTATAGCGCGTTTTATTTTTACTGCAGAAAACTTGGAAATTGCTATTGACGTTATTGTAAATACTGATACTTCTTTAAAAAAAGCTTTGAGTTTATTGGAGGAACTCATGTATTGTTTGCTTAACATTTTTTATTTGATTTTTTTAGTTCAAATAAGATTTACAAAAAAAGTATTATAAAATTTTTTATATTTAATATAATTATTTCTTATTAAAAATTTACTTTTAATATTTGGGAAAATATGTAAATTTTACGTTTAAAGATTCTTTAGATATATACGGATATGAGATTTAAATTTTATATAAAAAACTATTAGCTAATAAAATTGGTATATAAAAATTTTAAGTGAAGGAATAATTATATTGAATGAAAATAATAATTATTTCTTAATTAAAATTGAATTTTTTAATATAAATATAATAAAAACTATTTTAATTTATAAATGTATTGATATGCAATTTATTTGAGACTGGAGTTTAAAAGTTTGGCTTCATCAACTATTTTCCTTGAAAAAGAATATTTTACGAAGTTTCGTGAATATATTGAACGTTCCTTGGAAGTTTATATGAATAGAAGAACTATTTTTGTAATACTTTTATTACGGTTATATAATTTTTCTCGCTTTCATATAAAAAAATACTTTACATTTTATATTAAGAAACGCTATTTTTGTGATAATTTCTGTAACTGTATAGTCTTTTTTATCTATAACTATATAAATAAATAGAATGCTTAATATTATATATATAAAAATGTCATTGCATTACTTTTTAGTTTATGTCTTATTAAATACTGTTGTTTTTATAATTAGAAAATAATATGAAATGCTCAGTAGTATATATTATAGAAAACTATTTTTGTAATACTATATAAGTTTACAATAATTTTTCGATATGTATATACTGATGGAACTATTAATAAAATCATAAGTACCACTTGCTATATTTTTTATAAGTTTATAGACTTTTTGTTGTATTTTTGTGTTTATAAATTGAAATAAAAAAATACTTAATATTTTTTGTGAGAAAACGTTATTTTTGTAGATTTATATAATAATTTTTATTCAGTATTATTGTTGTTATAAATGAAATATTTAAAAAATGGTTAATTTTATAAATAGAAACGTTTTGGGAAACACAAAGAAGATACTCTACAGCTCCGAACAGTGTTAAAGGCTTCTATTTGCTACGCGCTTCTCTTATTCGGGCAGCCCGACTATGAGAGTGTATATTTTTTAACGGCAAAACCCATATCCAGCAATATTTTTAACGAAGCTGGTTAGTGCTGTACTGAGAAGCTTGTAGAGTTGAACTTGAATTTCTGCACATTTTCGTTGAAATATATTATTTTTCCTTATATGGATGAAACTTATAGCTTGGTCAATGGTAAGCCGGTTTTGTTTTAAAAATAATTAATTGTAAGAATTTTTTTCTCTTAAAGGTCTGAAAAATAATGAAAATAAGCGTCTTGATAGAATTTTAAGGTCTATTGTTTGTGTTATATAAGAATTTTAAGTAAATTTTCAATATATAGATCTTTTTATAACGACACGTGTGAGTTTGTTCGCCTATTGGCTAGACTTATTGAGCGTTGTAGCGTATCCGACGTGGCACTTCTAGCGGTTTTCTTTATAATAAATTCATATAATTATTTACATTCTAAATGTTTTTAAAGGCGTCCTCGACTTTACTCTCCTCGGTTTCTGTAGAAAACATTACAGAGTTGCAACGAGATATTCTTTTTCTTGTAAAATCGGTAATAAATTTTATATATATAAAAAATAATGACAACATTTATAAACTATTAATAGATTTGTGGAAAATACGAGAACTTTTGCTCGTCTTTTTTTGACGAGCTCACAAGTTTCATTCCCTTATTGAACACCAATCGAAAGCACCTTGCCCGTTTCCAGTTTTATATATACGATGTTATTTTCTTTTAAATAATTTATAAACTTTTTATTTTTTTCTGACAAACACAATATTTAGAATTGACTCGGATAAGTCTGTTCAAGTAATAACTTTGTTTATCCTTGAAATGGTATAAATATATAAATATATATACTTTTTTTTTCGATAAAAACTTATTTTATATAATTTTTAAAATATTGATTATAACTTATTTTTTATTATTAAAAAGTTTTATATTTATTAACAGAGATACCCAAAAAAAATTTATTCTTATTTTTAATTTTTTTATTTTTTTTAGTTTTTTGTTAATGAAAGAGTAATTTTTTCGAAGGTTCAGCAACTTCCAATGCATATTAAAAAGTATACGCAACTTTCATATGGAAGCGAAAAAGAAGAAACTTTTCTAGTCAAGCATTTACTGGAGAGCAGCCATCAAGCCTCCGAAAAGTGTAGAAAGTTTTGGGAAATTTTTTTTCAAGGGTTGGCTATATTTGTTATTATTACTCTTATTAATACACCTTTTCATTAAACTTTTACTACTATTTTACTACTGCTTAGAATAACCAAAAAGCAATCTGAAGTCGATTATAAAAGTCTTTTTGACAACTTTATTGAGGGTTTTTTTTATTATAATAATTTTTTATTATTTATTAACCGTATTATTATAAAATCAGATCTCTCAGCAGTTATAAATCATCCTGATTGGCCAGCGGCCGATATGTTCTTTAGGATTCTTTTAACGCTGACGGTATTATAGCATTATTATATAAGTATTTCTTTAGAATTTATTATAATTTTATGAAGGCCAAAAAATTATGGGACAACGAAAAGGATGCAATTTTAATGCGTTTGATATGTTTGGATGTTGTTAGTAAAATCACGTGTGTCCTTGCCTTTGAACTGAAAGCGATTCCTAAAAGCTTTATTGAACATTTTTTAGAGGTTGCACATCTTTTTATGCTATATATTATTTTATTTATTTTTTTCTTTTCGGTGTAGTTTAGCTCTTAACTATTATCCAATAGATGCGCGCCGTGGACACCGCTAATTTGTCTGCTGTCTATTGCATATGTGGAATAAGCACTTTTAAAAAAGTTTTTTTGCATTAATTTTTTTCTTAAAGTCACATAAAACATGTGACATCATCCGTCTATATAAGGGCTCTATGATTCGCTGCAACTTATGCATGAGGTACTCCCACTGCCACTGCGTTGCGCTGTCTGATGGTTATCGTGGAACTTTTAAGTGTCATGCGTGTGTTGATAGTGTTGCAAAGGAAAATGATGAAGACAATGTTTAGACTTATTATTTTTGTATATATACAATGTTTTTTATTAAAAAAAATCGTTACAGGAAACGTTGTTTTCGGTGGTGGAAGAAATATATGTAACTTTATACGAAATTATTTGTGATTATTTGGTTGCTGGCCAGAAAGAGGTCCTTTTTTTTATAACTTTTTTTAAGTATGTCAAGAATGGCAATAGAAGAGTTGTTATAATTAAGCGTGTTACAATAAATCCAAGCTAGAGGCTTCCATGTGAGCGACTTGGTTTTCGGGGTTTGAAGCGCACATGGCACGAGGGCTTTAATAATAGATAAAAGTTTATTTATCAATTGAAGTAATATAAAAGTTTATCTAGGGATAAGTAATTTTTCATCAATAATAATTAAATTATATATAGATAGTAATACTAACTAATTATTCTCATTGCTACTATTTTTTAACATAGATTACTATTATTAAGTAAAGTGTAAGGGTAATTTTTAATTTTTTTATACTGTATTAACTTTTTCATATTAATATTTCTGCGCTTCATTTAGGCTGCATTTTTAACTTTTCAGGCTCAATATATTTCTGAGCTTTTAAAAGTTCCAGAAGCCCACAAAACGACGGTTAATGAATTTTCATATATAAATGACGTTTTTATGACAAGTTTGTATACGACAAGACTGCAAAATCCTTGAAAAAGTTATATGAATTTATAGAGAAAAGTAAAAGCCCCGGCATTTAGTAAGTTTGGCTTTTTTTAATAAATAGTTAAGATATTTTTATATATAAATGAGTAACAAATCTATTTTCTATAAAAGTTCCAGTATAGACCAATATGAAATAAGAACAGTATGTCGAGCGCTTAGCGCCTTCCGGACACCGAAGTTTTATATATACTTTTTATAAATATTCTATTGTAAATATGTTTTTGAACAGCTCGTATCGTGGCATGCTCGAATTGGTCTTACGCTTAGTGCTGAAAAGTTTAACGGATCCCTCCAGTGTAGTAAGGACTAAAGCTGTTCGTGTGCTAGCAGTTTTAGTCGAGGCCAATCCTCCTCTTCTTTTTCAGGTTATTAAGGATAAATAAAAACTTATATTAAAATTTTTTATAGATATAATATTTTAAAGGAAAATATAAGGAGCGTTTTGCAGGCGCGTTTTCGAGACAAAACTATTAGCGTAAAATTATTGTTTAATTTTTTAAAATTGCTTGAATTTTTTTTTGCAGGTACGGGAAGCGGCTATTTCTCTTGTCGGGCCGTTTTTACTTTCCTATCCAGACCAAACCGAGCTTTACTTTCCCCCCATTCTTGACCGTCTTCAAGTGGATATGAATAAGCCTGCGCTTCCTCGTTCTTGTTTCTAACCGTTTTTCAATAGGACTCTGGTGTTAGCGTTAGAAACAAAGTCATAAAGATATTTCGAGATCTCTACATCGCGCAGCCTGATAGCGCTTTAGCAGAAGTGATTTGCGTAAATCTTTTAAAAATTCTACCCATTTCCGAGGTAAACAGCGCTACTATATATATATTGAAATTAATAATAAAGTGGAATACCCTCAATACAAGGACGCAGTTGTTAAGACTTTGCTGGAACTTTGGTTTTCCTTTTCTTCTTTGGAGAGCGAATCACATAAAGTAAATATAGCTTGCTTTGTTTTGATTGTCAAATCACCACATTTTACTTTAAAAGATGAACTACGCTAGAAATACGGCTAAAATAATTGTAAAGACACTTTCAACTGTAAAAGAGGAGAAAAGTTTTACTCTATTATTAAATAAAGTATTAAAATTTAAAATATATTTATAAGTATTTATTAAGTTAATATAATAAAAAGTGAACTAAAAGGATATTATAAATAATGATTAATACTTCATATACCAAGAAAAATCTAAAAAAAAATAATTTTATATACAAAATATATATTTATGCGCTTTTCTTGTTCTTCAGTATGTCCTTTAGTACATTATTATAATCTAATGAGGTTTTTGAACAAGAAGCGCGTCTAAAAACTCAGCACATTAGAAATGTTGCTGAGCTTATTGTGAAGGCAATAATGGAAATGCTGCTTGAGAACACCAATAGCCTTTCGAGTTATCGTTATTGATGATAAAGCACCGCTTCTTTTTATAAAATATACTGAAAATTTAGTTACTCAAACTGATTGCATGGCAGCTCTTTTTTACTTCTGCAAGTCTCAAGCGCAGTTGTTGTGTCCTTTTGCTGAACTGCTTCGGCCCTATCTTTGCTGCCAGGCAAGAAAAAAAATAAATTAATATAAATATTTAATAAACTTAAAAAAATAGAAAGTGAATATTAATACTCAATATTTTCAGTATTATCAAATATTTAAGAAATATTGTACTAATATAAATTCTAAACTTATTAATATTATACTTTTTTGCTTTTTACTATTGATTATATAACGAGTAGTATTAATTATAAATAAACTGTTAATAAAAAGAAATATAGTATAAAGTTATACTCACTATACCAAACATAAGATATAAAACAGTTTATATACTATTTATTTAATTTCCAAACTTTATTCTAATTATATATTTTCTTGATCTTTACTATTTACTATATATTATTTAATGATATAAATAAAAATGTCAAAAATGTCATAAGTAATATTCAATAATATTTTAAACTATTTAATTTTAAGAAAATATTAATTATTTTTAAACTTTTTTTTTTCATTATCATAACATTCACGCTTCTTGCTTTTAATTTTATATATTTAAATAATAATAAAAATTAATAAACTAAATTAAAATAAAAAAGTAAAAAGTAGTGCATTATATTCAACATTACTTAATATTTAAACAATTTATATTATTTATACAAATATTAATTTTCATACTTTATTATTATTATTAGAACTTTCTTTGCTTTTACTAATAATTCCATTTTTAAAATACGATTTTTGTTTTATTTATTTACTATATTTTTTTCAGTTATTAATTTTCAAGAACTGATTTTTTTTTCTATATATATAATTATTTATACAAGTATAAAACTTTTATAATCACACCCAGGACTCTCAAGATAAAATGCTCATCCACTACGCCTCGTTAATTATTAGCGAAATCGTCCCGTTTATTTTTGATGATGTCCCTGCGAGTTTTTTCAAGCAACTTAACGAAAGTCTTAGTCATTTATTACAAACACAAACGTCTTCTTTGGTTTTTTTTTCTTCTCTATTTTTTTTTGTTAAGCTTTTTATAAAACCATCAATATTTTTAGATTCTGGAGAGTATTACAAAATGTATAGTGACTATAGGAACCACCATTGGGAATTATACAACAATTAATGCTTCCCTTAAAATGTTTTATGGTATTTTGTTAATTATTTTATAATTTTTTTTAATTACTATAATAATTTAAAAATTATAAAAAATTACAATTGTTACTACTCTAAGAAGTTTTATGGTTTTGTATAAAGTATTTTGAATAATAATATAAATATTACTAAAATCTTAATATGGTATATAAATTATTTTTTATTATCATAATCGAAATTTTTTTTTAAAGTTATAATTATATAAATAAAAAAAATCATGTAATATTAAATATTTAAAAAAGAGGATTACAGTATTTTAAAGTAAAATATTTAAAAAGTCTAACTTTTTTTATTAAGAGTTTTCTGCTAGCGCCAGGAAAAACTCTTCCATACTCAAGACGATCGCTGAACTTGGCAGGCTCAAGCGCTCTTTATATATTTTAGGCTTGTTTTCGCGCTACACAGACTTAAGAACTTCTACATGTGCGTTGTTATTAGCAAGTTTCTGCAATATTGCTTAGTAAAAAGCTTTATATATTAATACTAAAGTTTGTCATTTATAGCGATTTTTCCTGCCGGAACTGAAATTTCGACTTCAGTATGTTTTATTTTTATACAAGTTTGCTTTTGCTTTTTAATAAGTATAAGGATTTAATATACAATTGATAATATGTGGCTGGGCACGTGCTGTTATTGTTCTATTATGCATGTGTTTTTGTCTCAACAAATTTAGGGCTGTGCACTTTATAATATAATTTATATAACTAAAAATTATGTTTTATTCGCTCTAACTCTCGATCTATCTCATTCAACTATATACGAGTAAAAAAGTTTTTTAAAAAAAAAACCTTTTCAGCAATTGCGTTTTTGAGCGTAGAAATGCGCTTAAAAGTTTAATGTAATAAGTACCTCTTTAGTTTAAATACACCAGGCACCGCTTGCATAGTTTTTTTTTAAAATGTTAAATATAAGCGAGATCTTTAATTTTAAGAAAATTTCGTTAGTATTTTTTATTATTATTTAATGGTAAAGCGCTTTTAAAAAAAATTATAACTTTTGTTGCGCTACTTTGTTATTATTTTATAATTTATATTTATTTATTATATTAATTTTTGAATATTTAGAAAATATTTTTGCAACTGCTGTATGAACTTTTTATATATTTTTACCAAACTGGCAAGGATGATATTAAAATTATGGCCCTGAAGGCTCTGGGTATGTGCGTAAGCTTAAAAAATTTATAGTGGAATATACATTACTATAACTGAATATTATATATATTTATTTTTTAACAGTAACTTTTCGTATATTCTTATATGTTAGTCTTCTTTTATAAATACTTATTTATAGTAATTAGTAATTTCTTTATATATATTTATTATTATGTTTGGCCTTTTCTATAGTATATTAATTTATAGTCATCAATTGCTTATATAATTATTTTTATACATTTATAATACTAACTCATAGTTATTATTTGCTTGTTGCTTTTATATTATATTTACTAAAAATAATATATAATGCATTTTTATAACTGATTTTTATGTATCTACTAATAGCAAATAATTATTTCTTATAATATATTTATTATTATAATTTTGGCTTCTTTCTATGATATGCTCATCCAGTATTATAAAGGTTTTCTGCTTGGCCGCAATGGTGACTTCATGCTTCGAGAGGAATCCATTACTATTTATTCTTCCTTGCTTAGTACATCTATTAACATTTATAAATAATATTTACATCATTAGTTGACTATTATTATCAATATATTGATACTTTCTAAATAAATATTTTAAAGGTTTTACAAAAATTAAAAAATATATATTTACTGAAGCTTTTATATTTCTTTATATATTTATTAATTACTAAAATGTATTAAATTTTATTATTACAGGCGATGGCGGTCAAATTAACTCTTCATTGACTCGGCAAGTTTTGGAAAATCTCATATTCTTATTGGATAGTAAAGGACAAAAGAGCGATGATGATTTGCCGGATTTAAAGCACACTGACAAGAATTCGAGGTACATTGCTCGTACCGTTAAACGTTATTAAGTTTGTGTTTAACTCTTTTTTAGTGAAGTTTTCTTTTTATAATTAATATTTACAATACTAATATAAAACCTACTATTTACTTTTAAATAAAATTTTTATACTTTATTATTTTGCTCTTTAATCCCTAATAACTTTATTTATTATAAATTAGTATTCGCATTAATGTCACGCAAACTCTTATCAAAGAAATTATTCAGTGCACTTTTCACCAAAACCTTTCAGTGCGCGCAGTGACTCTTTCCTTATTGGACCAGATAACTACGCAAGGCATTGCTCATCCAATCACCGTGCGTTTCTTATCCTTTTTATGTATATTAATTCCTTTGTATTTGACTTGAAGTGCATACCTTACGTCATGGCGCTACAAGGCGACCGCGAATTGGCTCTCAAGGAACGTTCTAAGTTTTTATTGGACAAGTTATACCAGCAGCACAAAAAGTTTATAATGAATAAGTTATTGGAAGGAGTCGAATTATGCTTTAAACTAGTGCTGAGTAGTCCTTATGACGTAATATTAATAAATTGTTAGTAACCTTTATACTAATATAAAATAAACTTAGAAATTTAAAGGAATCGGCTTTGAAGGGAATCCACCTGCCAGTATACTGAATAACATTTATTGGATTATTAAAAAGGACTCAATCTCTTACCGCCAGCGATTTATTAAAACGTTGCTTTCGGCTTTTATGAATGTTATTAGTTTGGCTTATGAAAAAAAATTTTTTTTAGTGTTGCTAACAAAAATATTGCAGGAGGAAAAGCCCTTTCTTTATTTGCAGTTCTTAACGGAAAATTTAGCCTATTTTCCCTACGAAACTCATGAAGAAACAAATTTTGTTTGTTATTGTATAACAAACATTTTATCAAAATTACTTAAAGAGTTAACATTCGACTTTCAATTTTGCCTCGAGACAAAGGAAGAGTTGTCTGATGAAGAAGTAGAACTGGAGCACGTGGAGGGTTTTTACTGCTTATCAGCATATATAGAAAAATCCGCTGTGCAATTTTTATTTTTATTGTTTATTTTTTTTTTTAGATTTAGTAAAAATCCTCGACGAGTCTTGCTTTATTGGGGGCTGCACTAAAGCCCTCAAGCTTTTTTTACTTGACACGTTATTAACTTTTTTAAAAGCTGACAGTCCGCAAAACAGCAGGTAATTTTTTTTAAAAGTTTTTGTTATCATAATATTCTTTAATTATGCATTTTAGTAAAAAGCTTAAAAGCTGCATTAACGTTAAGGAGCTGGTAGTGTTAAGCGAAAAAAAAAACTCCGAGAAGCAGAGAAACTTTAATATATACAGCAAAGTATTACTTAAATTTTCTAAGGCGATTCTTAACTTTTTTTAATAAATTTTTTAATTTTTTTTGTTACTAAAGTTTCTTCAGCTCCACAAGAAACATTCACTGAGAGAATACCACGAGGAGTGTAGTAATAGCAACAGTGTTATTATTACCGGAAACACCAAGGCAGAGAAAAATAAAAAAGTACTTTTTATATGGTATGTATAATCTATGTCTGAATTAATTTTTTTTTACAGAGATTTAATTCTCAAGCTGCTCGATTTTTACCTAAAAGATCCAAAAGAAAATAACTTAGAAATATTTACTTGGTATAACTAGCAAACGTTTAAAAATTATTTTAAGTCAAGATTTAAATATATCAATTTTTTTTATTATACCATTATTATTTTATATTTGTTTACAGTTTTTTTTAAAATGATAAAAATTTTTAAAAAAAATTCCCTATTTTTTCCATTATATTTAAAGTTAATTTTTTAAACGATTTGGACTAACACTTTTGTTATTACAGAAGTAAATATATTTACTTTTTAATTAAAAAAATTCGAAAGTATTGAGGCGTAAAGATTTAAAAATATAAATAATTTAATTTTTTCATAATATTATTGTTAGCTGGATGCCTGTTAATACTTTTGCTATATAGAAGTATATTAGATTACAAGTAGATGCTCGCCCTCTATCCTTTGAAATTATAAAGGAAAATGTTGGAAAAGAAATAACAGACAGGCTCGCCAATTATTTTTATAGTAAATCAATAACTATGCGTAGCACAACATGTGGCAGTCGAAATAATAAAGTTTATAGTTATAGTTATTAAGCTTTTCATTCATGCTAGTGACTTTGCATAACCCGCTTTCCTTTTAAAAATAGTTTTAAAGCAATTTGTAGAAGTTTTGTAAGGCTTATAAACTATATTAATGTTTTTGTCAAGTTTCGTAATAACTGTAATAACAAGAAACATTAAATTTAAATGAGAAAATTAAATTATAAATTAATAACTTTACACGGGTTCACATATTCTTTATAATTGCCATCCATTTCATACATCAATTAAAGTTATTTTTAATACGGGCCCTTTTTCTTTTCCTTATATTAAACTTGTTTTCTCACCTTTTCCCTATAAATAATAATATTGTTTAAGAAAAGTAAATATAACGCTAAAAGTATAGTTAAATTTATAAAATTATGCTTATGAATAATATAATATAACTGAACTAACTATTTGTTTTCTGTGAAGTAATAATTTACTTTTAAAGGTACTCGCAGTTTATTAAAGAATTAAATTCGCTTCGCAGGGAGGTGTTACCTAGTTTTGCAGTTTTCTTTCAAGCTTTACCATTTTGTAAAGAAAAATATCGTGCATAGTTTTTCTTAACAGAAAGGACAACCACAACGCGTAGTTAAACGAGTTTAGAAAAAATGGTAAATAATTAAAGAAGCAAGCCATTAGTTAATAAGAAACTTTGGAAAACCACTCTGTCACTTCTTTACTGTAGCAGCAAAACACTTTAAATTAAAGGAAGACAAATGTTATTCTTAATTAGAAAAAGTGCAATATATATAAATTATTAAGACAATTTTTTATTATAAAAAATTGTACATATGCAGTTAAGCGCTTTATGCTTGCTCAGCCGTTCAAGATGTACTTAAGTAGTTAAAGTTACAATTTTAATTTTCCGTTATATAAAGGCGTGACCATATTCAAATGGGGTTGAAAAAAGTTTATATTTTGTTATTACTTATTATTGAAAAATACATTTTATTATTTCTATAATATCTATATTAGTATAAATATAGTTTTTGCAGTATTAGTGTTGTTAATTACATTATCAACAGTTTAATGTACTGTTTTTTTGCTCTGTTACCATTATTACTATTTGATAAATATAATTCTTTTTTTATTTGTTATCCTCACTCGTAATAATAATATTTTTATTTTTATTATATTTTTGTATTATAACTGTAACTAAACAAGTCCTTAAACTTTTTCTACTTACTTTTCAAGAACGATTTATAAATTATTTATTGAAAGTTTTAATAAAAAAAAGTATTTATATAAAAATTTTTTATAAGTACAAACAACTAGGCTTTTTATCAATATATAACTTTATAGAAGAGGTCTATAGAACATTTATTAGTCTTTCAGTGATAGTATCATGCTTAATAAATAATCGTTGAAAATAACAAAACTTATTTAATAAAACTTTTCTTTTAAAAGATTTTTAAATCATATAATAAAATAACACCCTGTATACTTCCTAACTAACTAAAATAAAAAAGGAAAGTTATAGCATTCCAGTCTTTTGAAGTATGATCCTCTTATGTAAAAATTAATTATAACTCAGCTTAACTTATAAAAGGTAGCTTATAAAAATTATAAAAAGTTTACTACTCTGATTTTTTTTAGCATACCTGTTTAAAATAAATCTTTTACTAAAAACATATCATCCAAACTTCACCTTTTCGAAATTTTAGAGGTTTTCTTGCGTAAGTAAACTAAATTGAAACGGTTTTTGCGTAATAAATGTCTCGCGTAGAAAAAATTTTAAACTATCAACTTTGTTTGCCCATAAAAAAATTATTCTCCCTACACACGAAACCTCGATACTCTTAAATAGTCCCGCTTGAAGAATTGATATGACACTAAAGAAATAAGAAATTGGTATTATAATCAATAATATTTAATTTAATAATAATATTGAATATAAAATTTTAGTTAAGAAATAAAAGTATTAATAATAATAAAATAAACAAACAACTTATTAAATTCATACTGAAATAAATATTATAATAATAATAAATCTAAATAATATTATAATTAATTTTATATTCGTTATAATTAATCTTGTTACTTGACAAGTTTAAAGAAATTATAAAAATTTTGGAAAAGTTAGACGGTATTTTTCAAATGCACTTAATAAAAAGATATTTGAGGCTAACAAGATCCGATTACCAAACCATAGGCGTAAACTAAAGGATCCGGCCTACGTCCGGACGACCATGTCACCCTATGGGTCAGAAGTTGTAAATGAGAACATTTAACTCTCTTCATTTTCTTCCCATGAGGGAGGTTATTTTTCGTTCTACTTGGGTAGCATAAGCTAATTAGCATTTCTAGAGTGCTAGGTAGTTAATTTCGTTTTACTAAAATGGAACTTTATAGTTGATCTTGAGCTATAAAATTTTACGTTCTCGGTCTCTTTTATGACTCAAAGTGGTTGGTGCTTGGATAGTATCATCTGCCTTTACAATACAAATAGAGACCGAGTTGATCATCCCTCCATTTAAGGAAGACACTGAAACCTTTGCGATTTGATAAGTTTTCATTCTTAGAGCTTTTTTTTAGAGCTTAGCACGATCATGTGGTTTAGATAAAGAATCACGTTAAAAGTAAGATAAAAGTATGTAAATTAGAAGAGTGCGCTCTGGATTTGCATACTTTATAAGATCGACTTAATTAGGATTGAGCTATAGTCAATAACATCGATAGAAAAATCAAATTCGCCTTACCATTGGTTTGAATAACTATGATGGGCTAATTAGCTAACCTGAAGTAAAGGGCTATAATCAACCCGATCACGTTAGACATACATGACTCTTGTGTGAAAACTATGTTCTCTTTATTATTAAAGCAAAGTAGAGCAGGGTGTTTTTGAGCTCTCCTCGGCTGGTTAAAGCCGGGTGTAATCTGAAGTTTGACTATTTATAGCTTGGGCTTTATACCATAATCTCGAATTATCAAGAGGGAGGTACCATAATCTTGATGCTTTCCTGTAAACGTAGTATCATTAAAACGAGTGCTATGCTATACCACCAAATTGTAGCATTATGATAGGCGCCTCCTAAAAACAGATTGCATTCTATAACAGTAATACTTATACAAGTTTGCATACTTCTATGCGTTTTCTAACACAGCGAGGTAACTTACAATTATCTAAAATGCTAAGTTGTAAAGTAGAACTACTTCCAAGGTGAGACAACCGAACAGCTTCCACGCTAACAGGTAGACATTAGTTAGAATCTATACAACCAGGAAGTAATCCTTGGTTATCCTTTGGCATTACTAGGGTGACATTCAAGTAATGACCATTCGAAACTGAAGTGGTTGGCAGTCAGGTAGTGCAAAAGTCCAGCATAAATCTTCGCTCTATCGTTAAAAGTCTATCGCTGAAAGAGTACATAAAACAAATAAATAAGTAATTATGAAAATATCTTTAACGAACTACTTTAATACAGCTTTGCTTTAGAGGCGATCTCATATAGCATGTAGCTAGTAGACATTCCTCTTTACCAGCTTAAATTGTTAACTGTAAGGTAGCAGTTAAACAGTAGTTATTTACCAGTTAATTTATATTATATGTTATAACTGTATAATTCGGAATCACTGTCTGAGATATTGGCTAAAACCGGGTGGATCATATTATTGAGAGATGCCTTGCCTTTGTTAAAGGAGCACTTTTTTCAACAATCTTAGAAAATTCACCAACAGAAAACTAACAGGACTATCAAAGTCTGATAAATTCATTTGCTTACGAGGGGGAAGGGCTTACGCTGATGTAAAAAATAATCATAACAAGAAAGCTTTTAGAGGTGTATTGAGGAAGAGCCTTCTAACTTAGCCAATTGAAACCTAAAATAACTTCTTCTCTCGGCCTGTGCGCCACTAACTTTTACAGGTTTTACTAAAATCTCTTCTTTTATTTATTATACATTATAAGGGTTTACATCTTAGAATTCTACCGGGTACTGTTCTATTTGGATCATTTAAACTAATATAAACTTGGAGACTTTTCCTAGTGACCTTTTATAAACTTTAAAGAGTACTAAATAGGAGTGATAAATTTAAAAATCTTATATACTACTGGTAAACAACACGTTTACCCCTTTTTGTGACAACCTTGGTTTTATGCTAATAAAGAAGATTTAGTTAAGGTGCTCCTAAATCATATATAAGAGAATGGTAATTTAGCTCCGTTCTTGTTGCTTTCGCATGTTCTTTCCAGCTCCTTGCCTTATTTACTTCATTTTTGGCGGATTCTGTGTAAGCAACCATTTGTGGGCTTTGAGTCGCAGAAGGTTAGTTCTGTTTGGCGAAATAAATTTGGTGACGCGTAGGTCGATCGCTGAATGGTTTAATCGACCGTTAGCTATAACTTTCGTCGACTAATTTACACTCTTTCTGTACATAAGGACGCATGTTCCGTCCCCAGGTAGGTGTTGTACAAGCGCACGAAACAAGATCGTGGCTATCTTAAAAGTGAGCAGGTATGGATCTTCAACTGGCTGCAAGGAGGGAGGGCTATGGTAACTATCTGCCCGTCATAGTGCTGATCGGTCAGAATTGATTACCATCCTAGAACTGATTGAAAGTTAAATGTAGCCTATAAATGCCTTGGGACTGTTTAATGACCCTCTACTATGACTTATGGTCCTCTGATGTGAGCTGAACCATTCAAGTAAGCAAAATAAAAGGGAATCATCAAAAAGAAAGCAGCGTAAATATGGTTTGTCGTGCTTTGGTTAAAAGTTACCAGGGTTAGCTCTTCTCAAGGAGAGTTCTAAAGTAGCTGGCGCTTGGCTGGAAACAGTTGCTCTCATACCTGGAAAAATCTTTATCATAACATGTTTTATACCACTTGTAACCATTACAAATTGTGCATAGAGTCGGGTTTCGCAAGATTCGAGCTGTAGAACGTATGTATGGTGCTGGCTGGTTGTATATTCAATTGACTATTTGGCACAATAACGAGTAGTGCCTTGTTGCTCCTGTATACTATCGTATTGCCTACGCTTTAGTTAATGATCTGTCTACATTGGTCCCGTAGATCCGGTGTTTGGTGGACGTATTGGCTAAGTTACTGGGATAAGTTCGCCTCGGTGAATAGTTGCAGACGAAAGCTTGGGTGAACCTCTATTCATTGTAATGAGATACGTAGCTAGTTACTCTTAGCATTTATCAGGATGCATATTTACATTAATAAATAGTAGTATTATAGCATTTAGTAAGTTATATGTGAATTAACTGAATAGTACTTGTTGCTATATAAAATAGTTGTCAAGTATCTATAAGTATACTATCATAAGAGTATTAGTTACTAGTGTATCCAGATATGAGGAGTATTTATAATTAATTTATTATTTGTTATAATTTATGTTACTTAATAGTTTACAGAAACTATAAAAACTTTTGAAAGAGTTAAATGGTATTTTCCAAACGTACTTAATAAAAAGATATTTGAGGCTAATGAGATATTTTTGTAATGAAATCGAGGCTTAGAAACAATATAACTTACAAACTACCGAAAAAGTTTTCAAGGCGAAGGGAAAAATCATAAAAAATTTGTTATAAAAGTGGATACTATTTATTGGAAGCCTGAAAAAATACTTTTTTTACTATAATTAAATTTTTGTAGTATAGTTAATAAAAACAAACAATTAGTTTCTACATATAATAATTTTTTAAAAAAAGTATTAAAAAAAATTTACTATATTTTTTATTCAAAACTGAAAAAATTTCAAAATTAATAAAACAACCAAGTTTAATTAAAATTATAGAAATCACATCAAAAATTATATAAATTTTACAATGCAAAATTTTAACTAAAAAATTTGTTTAAAATAATGGAAATCACGGATCATAGTACAAAAAATTATATAAATACAATACAAAAATTTTCAACAAAAAAGTTTAAAAATAATAATCAGAAATCATTGTCAAACAATTTTACAATACCAAAGTTTTATTTAAAAATTTAATAAACATAATAAAATTACGAAATAAAGTATAACAAAATATGTGAATATTACAATACAAAAGTTCTTTAACGAAAAAGTATAATAATTATTTGAGAAAACACGAGTTATAGTATAATTTATATAAATTTAACAATACAAAAGTTTTTAATCAAACAAATTTAATAAATATATTTTAAAAAAAGGATAAATTTAACTATATAAATGTTTTTATTATGAAACTAAAGAATCTATATAAAATAATAATTACTAAAAAAAAGGTCTTCCAGTAATAAACCAAACAACAAAAAAAAGTAGCGGAACGCAGAGGAACTATTTATCCATAAAATTTACTTACATTTTCGTCACGTGGTTATATACCCCCCTTTTTTTTAGTTAGTTTTATTGCTTGTCATGATTCTATTATGAAGCTTCTGTTGGGAGTTGCTAATATTAAAGTAGTTGTTTGTTCGCGTAATATAAATTATACTTGCAGTTTACGTATTATAAAGAAGCACTCGTTTTACCATAACAATCTCTTTGGTAATTGTAAAAAATACTTTTCGACAAGCTTGCCAGGCGCGCCTAATGCACATACTAATTTGATAGCTTCGCAATCTCTTGGTTTATTATAGTTTCTGTTTATTTTTATTTATGACTTAAATTTAAATGCGTCAAAAAATTTAACTTTTATAAAAAAAAAGTTTTTAATTATTTTTACTTTAAATTCTTATACGTCTTGTAGCATGATTTTTTCTATAGTTTTTAATTATTATTTTAAGATCCACCGATTCTTCATAAACAATTACCCGAAGTTTTTACTCCTTTTATTGGAGAGATACGTTCTTATGGTTTAGATTCTGGCTATATTACTAGCACCATTCAGTCTGCTTTAGAATTATTCACCGTTTATACCAGTTTGCCTTGGGGGTTACCTATTTTCTTTTTTTATATAATCAATGAATTCCATAAAATTTTTTTTCATTTAATTAATAATTGTTAAAAAGATACTATGAAAAATTTTTGTATGTAAATAGTTAAATTAGACTTTCGAAGATAATTATGAATTTTAAGCAATTTTTAAAGGAATTATTATTGGGACTTTTTATATAAATTTCTCATTATTCTTATTTTTTTTGGTTATATTATTTAAGTTTTTAAACATTTCCTCTTTCATTTTACATTTGTTCAATGAATAACTATTAAACTTTATACATTTTTAAAATTTAATTCGATATAAAAGTTTACATTTTCTATTTCTATACATATATTTGTTCGAATTACTAAAAAAAAATTTATTCGACATTAATAATAATTTATAATTTTTTGATAAATATTAATTTTTTAATATGTTTATAGTTTATATAAAGCTTACAAAGCATCTTTTTTAACTTTTAATGTGTATAAAGAATTTCAATTGAAATTTATAATAAAATCTAATTTATTTTTGTTTTTAAGAACTTCCTTAAGTTTTCAAACAATTTTTTTAATTATAATGATTAATTGCTATGAAAATTTATTATACATTTATAATTTTTTTATAATTTCGAAGAGTTACTATATGGCTTACTGCATTCACCATCCGGTTTTTGATTTGGCCTTTAAATTTGACTGCTATGCGAAACGGTTATAAAACGCTCATCGTTCGGCCACAATTGGGTAAAAAATAATTTTTATAATATTTTTATAACTATTAAATTTTAAAGTATAAAATAATTATTTTTTAAAATACTTTTACTACTTTTAGATTATTAAAGTTTTTATAAATTTGTTTTTATATATTTTATAACCATTTTTATATAATATTTAGTTATGAATTTATTTTTTTTATTACTTTAACTTTTTCTAAATTAAAATAAATTTAGTAATAAAAAGTTATAATTCATATTTAATAGATATTTTTATATATTTTTATTTTTTTACAATTTTAAAATTGGAATTTTATTATTTTTATACAATACTTTTAATACTTTTAGATTTATAATTAATTATTAATTTGTTTTTTAATTTTTGTAACTTTTAGTTTTTATTAATTAATATTGAATTATGTTTTATTTTTTTATAATAATATTTATATGATATTTTTATTACCTCTACAATTTAGAAAATAAAATTAATTTAGTTTATAAAAATTTATATTTTATGGTTTTATAATCATTTTTCAATAATATTTTTATTACTTTTACATTTTAGAATTAATTATGATTTAATTTAGTAAAAGTTTTAATTTTATATTATTATTACTTTTATATGTTTTTATTAATTTTACAGTTTAGAAGTAAAATGAATTTATTTTTAAACAATACTTCTATTTCTTTTAGATTTTATTAGTTGCTATTAGTAATTATTTTTATATTATAAATTTAGAAAATAAAATAATTTAATTAATTAAAAATTTATAGTATATATTTTTTATATATTTTTATTACGTTTAGTTTTTATAATTTATTATAAATTAGTTTTTACGTTTTTAATATTTTTAATTATTATTTATTAATATAAATTTGTATATTATATTTTTATAATTTTAATAAATTTTAGAATTTATTGCTTTTTTTTTTACATTTTAGAAATTAAAATTATTCTAATTTATTACTTTTAATTTTATAACTACATATTAATATATTTATAACTTTTGTATTATTATTTTTATATAATATTTTTATTTCTTTTTTATTTTTTGAAATAGAAGATATATTCGAGTTGTTAGATTTTAATTAAAATAAAATTATAATATTTATTTATAACAATATTATAACTTTTATATTTTATTAATACATCTATTTAAATACTATTAAAAATATAAATATATTAAAAAAGAATTAATAATATATTTTTTATACAATCGTATTACTTTTATATTTTATAAATTAATATAATAGGAATTTTTAGGTAATAATAAAAATTTATTATTATTTTCATACAATATTATTACTTTTATTTTATAAATTAATATAAAAAATATATTTTTTTTAAATAATAAAAATATAATTTTACTATAATAAAATTAAATTATTTTTTTTATATAATATTACTTTTATATTTTATTAATAAATATATAATAATATATTTTTTAAATACTAATTAAAATTTAAATTTGTTAAAATAGTTCTATTAATAATTATTATTATACAATATTTTCACTTTTCTATTTATTAAATAATATAAAAAATATATTTTCTCAAATACTAATTAAAATATAATTTTTTTTATAATTATATATATAAGAATTATGTTTAACGTAAAATTATGATTATTTTATACTATATATTATTGTATAATTTTTTTATTATAAAGTTTTATTAATTTACTAATAAGATGTAATGACGTCGAGGTTAAAGCAGAAACGCGCTGAACTGGACTTTGAAGGAATGAAAGTTGAAGCCCAAAAAATGAAAGTAAAATTTTTTCATGTATAAAAAAAAAATGGTTATAAAATTTAACGATTTATTCGAAATTTGGAGATTAATTTTTTATGTATTCACAAAATCTTATAGAAATTTCATTGGAATTTTATGGAAATTGTTAACAATTTTATAAATAGAAATTTATATTTCAATTTATTTAATTTTTAGATTTTATATAGGAATTATAAGATTTTCTTTAGAATGATTTAATATTCAAATTAAAAATTCTAATAAAATCAAATAATTTATATAAATATGGAGATTAATTCTTATTTTTTAAAAAAATTTATATATTATTTTTATAAAAATTTATTTTTTTCTAAACTTTAATAGAAATATTTAAGATATTTTCAAAAATAATTTTTTATATATAGTAAAATTGATATAAATTTTTATAATTTATTTAAAATTTGTAGATCTTTTTTTTACATTTATAAAACTTTTATAAAATTTTATAGAAATGTGATAATTTTTTAGTTTTGATTATATGTTGAAGATTAATTTCTTTATTTATTAGACTTTGGTAGAAATTTTAAGAATTTTATTTAGAATTGATAATAAATTTTAATAATTTATTATACTTTAGGAGATTAATTTTATGTATTTATAAATCTTTTATAGAAAATTTATAGAAATTAAATAACAATTTTTTTTTTATATTTAATATTGAAGAGTAATTTTTTTATTTGTTTAATTTTTAAACTTTATAGAAATTAATAGATTTTTATTTAGAAATGATATTTATTTTAAGTAACTTATTCGAATTTAGGAGATTAATATTATTTAATTATAAAACTTTTGAAAATTTTTGAGTTTTTTATAAAGATTTATTGAAAATTTGAAGTTTTTTTTGAAAATGGTTTTAATTATATAATAAAATTGATTATAAATTTTTATAGTCCCTATAAGTTTTGGAGAAAAAATTCTTTATTTATAAAACTTTTATAAGAAATTTTATAGAAATTTGTTAACAACTTTTTCAATTCTGATTGAATTTTAATTTATTTGTTATATTAATTTAATCTTTAGACTTTTTATAGAAATTTAATGATTTTTTTAAATATGTTTTATAATTTATAATAAAATGGATAAAGATTTTACTAATGTAGATACGTTTCAGAAAATTTAAATTTCTTTAGAAATGGTTTTTAATAAAATATATATTAAATTTTAATAATTTATATAAATTTTGGAGGTTTATTATAAAACTTTATAGAAACTGTTAATACTTAATTTTGTTTAGATTTTCGAGGTTTAGTTTTTTATTAATAAATTTTTATGTAACTTTTATAGAATTTATTTTATTCAAACTTTAATGTCAAATTTTAATATCAAATTTCTAATTTTTAAAAAATCATTTTCAATTTATAATAAAATTGTTATCAAAATTGAAAAAGTTCATAAATTTTCGAGAATAATTTTATTTATTTATAAATTTTATATAACATTATAGGAATTTTAATTTTTTTTTAACAAATTGTTTTTAATTTGTAATAAATTGATAATAAATTTTTGTTATTTTAATTTTGGAAATTAATTTATAAATATTTATAAAACTTTTATAGAAATTTTAAAAATTTTTTGTAAATGATTTATAATTCATGAATTTTAATAATTTATATAGTTTAATAGATTTATTTTTTTATAACTTTTTTTTTATAGAAATTTTTATAGGAGTCTTAAGATTTTATATGGTTTTGTTTCTAATATTATTAAATATAATAATAATAAAAATTTTGATAAAAATTTTGATTCATTATTTTATATTTATTAAATTTCAAAATTTTATAGAAATTCCGGTTCTTTATTTAATAATCTCTTGTTTTAGTAGAAATAAGTATATCTTTTTTAAAAATTTTTTATTTTTTTCTTTATTATTGCTTTTAATTTTTATAAAAGTAATAATTATTATAAAAGTTTTCTTTAATTTTTTACTAAATTTTAATATTTAATAAACTTTGTTTTTTGATTAGAATTTAACTTTATATTAAGAAAGTTGTTCAATTTTGAAGATTTTTATCTTTTTTTTTAAATGATTATAGACATTTTTTTACTTAAATTTTTTTTCTTAAGGATTTTCTGAAATGCAATAAAATTCGACCGTATTTTCCGTTTCTTTTGATTGGAATTCAAATGCCGATTTTTATTTCTATTTTTATGGCGCTGAAGAAAATAATCGATGCTCCCGTTTCTTCGTTGAAATCAGTTCTTTTTTTTTATATATATATTTTTTTGGGAAAATTTTATAATTAAAAATATAAGCAAAATTTTATCCAACTTTTTTAAGTCAACATTAAAAAAGTAAATTTTTTTAAAAAAAATTTAAAGAAAAAATTAAGCGAAATATAAATTTTTTATTATTTATTAATTGAAGTTTTATATTTTTAAAGAAAATATAAATGTATGAAACGAAAATAATAATATGTAAAAAAGTTTTATAATTTGTATTTAGCGGAATTTTTATATTATAAGAATATATATAAATTTGCTTGCTACTTATTAATGATATTAATAATATTTAAAAAATTGTTTTTTACTAAAAAAATTAATAATTTATTTCAGTATCAAAACGAAATATAAAAATTTATTCAATAATAAAATAATTTATTTTCATTTATATTTATAAAAAATAATTAAAAAGTATTGGAAATAATAATTTATGATAAAATGGAAAATAAATTTATTCATTTATAAATAAATTATTTTAAAATTAAAATTTTATTAATTATAATTTAAAAAAGTTTTACTTCAAAATATATTTATAATAAAAATATTAGAACAGGATATAAATTTATTCCATTCTAAATTAATTTGTTAAACGTTTTGCTTAAAAATAATAATAAGTTATTTGAATATTTAAACAGAATGAAAAATAATAAAAAGGTTTAAATTTTTTAATTAAATTTATTATTTATATAAATATTGGTGTTATTAACAAATTATAAAAAAGTTTTTTCTTAAGGTTACTCAGTGACGTCTAAGGCTTAAGCGTTAGTGAAGACCAATCAGGGCTATAAGTTAAAGTAAGAGGGCCAATGCCCGTAGAAGTAGGGGCTACGCACATGTCAGGGACTAAGATTATTCGGTTATGGTGCGAAGCACTGCAATAGAAGATGTTGTTTTTGCCTATTTTTTCTCTACTGGTTAATTAAGGGACGTCATGGTTAAAACGAAAGTACTATGCGAAGGGCAGTTATAAATAACAATAAAAAATTAATAATCTAGTTAATATTTATTTTCATTGAATTCTATTAAAAAAATACTGTGAAAGTAGTTTTTAAATGAAAGGAAAGATATAAATATATAAACACAATGAAACATAAATTAATATATTAATATTTTTAATCTATAGTATTTTAAAAAAAAAATTACTACGTATCAAAAATTAATAATTTATTTAAATATATTTATATTAAATTTTATTAATAATACATAAAAAAAGTTTTTTTTTTTGTATTAATTAAATTGTGGGAAAACTTTATTAGTAATAAAATTAAATACGAAAACTTTTAATTTTTATAATTTTTATAAATTTTTTTATATTTTCTTTATATAATTTTTAGTATATAAATAAAAAGTTTTTGTTTTTTATATATTTTTTATACTTCCTTTATATTTTATACATTTTTTCTTATTACTATTTTTACTTGCGCAGGGCGGCTTCTTTTGGTTTACAGACTTGACAGTGGCTGATCCGCTTAACCTTCTTCCTTGTTTTGCTGCGCTCGGAACGCTTTTTTCTATGAATTCCAGCTGGAAATGCAATCCGATACACACGAGTTTTATTGGTTGAATAATAATATTTTATTTTAGTTGCGCTGTTATTTTTTTTATAAAAAGTTATATTATAAAATAAATAATTTTGAGTTAAATACTAATAATACTAAACTTTTACTGCTCAGAATTTTTTCTTTAAATTTTTATTACAAATATATATTTATACATAAAGAATTTAGCATTGAATCAAGTAATAATATTAATAATTATATTTATAACAATTTTTTTGATGCGAAGATTTTTTTTCTACTTATAAAATTTTGTTAAAAGTATTTATTTTTTTTAAGGATTTCAGACTCCTTTAAGGATATTAACATTAGCTTCAGTGCCCATAACAGTTATTATGGGGATCCCCAGCGGTAATACCTTTAGTGATAGTTATTATAATTATAACTATTTCTTTGATGCTTAAAAGTACATATTACTAAAGATTTAGATAAGCAAAACCAAGTACTAAAAATAATTACTTCCCATAAACATATTTTATAGTAATTTGTTTTTAGTATAAAAAATATATGAAATACTTAAAAGTATAATAATAATATAAGAAATAATAATTAATAAAAGTATTATTAAAATAATACGATATAATATATAAACATATAAATAAAGTAATAGCAAGTAAAAATTATAATTTAGAGAATTTTTGTATAATATAGTAATATAATAATCTTATTATTTAAAGTTTTAATAACTTTTTATTAGTAACATAATACTAAAAAATCAATATAAAAATATTGTATATAAAGAAGTAAAGATAAGAAAATATAATATTTAAAGGCGAGATAATAATAATATATTAATAAATAAAGGAATCATTTTATACTGGATGGGGGCCTCAGCCGCTTCTTTTATACAAGTTTATATATAATTACTATTATGAATTTTATTATTTGATAAACCACGTGCTCGGCCACATGATTATCTGCACTATGTTTTTCGTATTACTTCCATGTGCTTTTGTCACGCGCAATAGCACATGTTATGTATCTTTTCTATCTTTTTAATATTTTTTTTTTACGGGATAATTTATTTAAATCTTAATTTTTTTATCATTATTATTATTTTATTTGTCTTATAGTTTTCTTTACTTCGCAATTCTATACTCCGTCATAAACTTAATCTTCCGTCCATTTCTTTGATTCGCGAATTGAATGAAAAACTCAAGCCAGTAGTCCCCTTCGCTGATTTACTTACTCGAAAAGAAGTAGAAAAAAATTTAAATTTATACAAAAATCATTAATTATTACTATATCCATTTTTAATTTAAAATTGATTTTTTTTAATTGTTAAAAATATATACTTATTATTATTATTATAAAAGGCACAGGGTCCGACTCCTTTTGAGGCATCGCTAAAAAATAAAAGGGAATATATAAATGCAGTGAAGCGCAAAGCTGCTTTCAATAAATAAAATTTTTTTAATAAATAAAAATGTGGAGGTTTTTTTTTTTAATAATTTCTTAATAGTTTCTTATTATATATAAATTTAGAGTTGATGAGTTAATTTAGTTCAGCGGTTTATGTACGAAAAATATTTTTACAAGCCTTGGCTTGTACTCATCTTTATTAATTTTGAATAATAAATGCCTGTCTCCATCTTTACATCTTACAAAAATATGAAATTGAAATTTTTTACTTCAATGAAAAAATTATCTGCCAAATTTTCAAACATTAAAAAAAAATATTTTTAATTAGAAGCTAAACAAATTGATTTTTTTTTAAAGAGCAATTATATTGTTGTTTTGTAGACGAAATAATATAATGATTACTTTACGCACTCAATTTTATAAATTATTACTATTAAAATTTTTAAAACATTGCGTTGGAGTTTATAAAGCATGAACAGTTTATTTAGTACTTAACAAACTTAAGTAGTAAATTGTTTTCTTTTATAAATATTTTAATAATGCTGAGTTAATTTTTTTTATAAAAAAAATTAGATTTATTAGTAGAGCAAAACAAATAAAATTAATAACTACTAAAGTTCCAAAATCTTATGAATGAATTTGATTTTTTAAAACGAAAAATTGTATTGTGGGTGGATGAAACGGTTGGAGTATTACTAATAATGTTCAGTAGTATATTTGATTCTCCTTAATAAATATATTACAATAACGTAAATCGGAATTTTCTAAAACAAACAATTTTAGTAGATGAACCAGTTAAAATAATACTTAGCAAATTTAAAGTGTATGATGGATTTTCTTTATAACTATATTATAATGAGCTTAACTTGAAATTGATTAAAAACAAACATTTAGATTTACTAGTAATAAGGCAGCTAACGTAATACTTAATAAACTCAATAGTACAACTGATATTTTTTATGTCATATATATCGGTAACTTTGTGTCATCTTTGTTAAACGGACAATAAACATCGTTTGTAGAGGAAGTTTGTAAACGTATACTCAATAAAATCAAAAGTATGGTTGATTTCCTTTTATAAATATGTTTTACAGGCCATTTTTATAACTAACCATTAGTTATATTACTAGATGAAACAGTTAATTTAATTTTTAATTAACAATTTTAAGTTATTTTTCTTTCATAAATTTATTATAGACGTTGAATTGAATTTTATATGTCGAACAGTTAAAAACCGTTAGTTAATAACACTGTTATAATAACACTTAATAAACTCAAAATGTAAACTTTTTTTCTTTTATTATAACTGAATAAGGTTGTGGTTAATTTTTTATAACAAACATTTAACTTCAGTAAATAAAGATTATAAACTTATACTTAATAAACTCATATGGTTATTTACTTTTTTTCTATGATTGAAATATACGTTGAATAGGATTTTTTTTTAACTTAAAAAATAAGAGCATTAGTAACTTAAGTTTTTTCCCTCTCTTCTGAGATTATAATCCGTCAGTAGGCAAGCAAGTAAAGTGGGGTAGTTGCATAGAAAAAAATTAAAGAAAATGCTTCGATTTCCTTTTTTTTTTTTTATCGTTTTGGCATACTATAGTCGTTAAATTTGCTCTAACTTAAACCGCTTAACCTAAATTCCCTCATTACGGCGAGAGAAAGGGTAGCCTCTTACAAATTAAGGTCACTCGGGTCATCTCTTATAGCACATAGATAGCGATGTCTTTGCAATTTAAGCGTTTAACACATCTTCCCCTAAAATTTAAAATATTATAATCATGTAACAACTGCGCTAACGACGTTTCAATAACCGATTTAAGATAAATGTTTAGGTCGTTAGTATTTCAAAAAATATGCGAAAGTATAGTCTAAGGCAGTAGTTATTACATTGTTGGTAATGTTCTTCATATATAGTGTAAAACATTTAAATAGCCGTCCAGTTTAAGGTATAGCAAAAAAGTTCAATTTCATGATGTAGTTGTGAATTTCGCACAAATCAAGGTGCGCTTGTAAACATTTTAAGGAGATTACTTTGAAGAATTTGAAGTCTGCTCATATGCAAACTCGAGTTAGTAAGACCATGGAACAGTTGCGTGACTAACAATAGGTCAGTTAATAGCTTTATATATGAGTTTATTTTTAAAATTCAATTGGCTTCTTTTGCCTATCAGAGGTATAAAGCAGAAGTTATATTAAATTTTTTAAAGATAGTTAATATGAGGCTTTCAGTTAAATATAGGGCCCTTACTGACGCCAAGGCGTTTTACTTGATTGTCCCAAGGAAGAGGTGTTTGCGATAGAGTTAGAGCTTTAATATGTCCTTTTTTACTTTTCTTAAGATGCTCATCGCAAGGCATTGGGAGGTTTATCGTAATTTTCCACTTTTCAAACCATTTTTCTAGTGTATAAAGAAAAATCTATAGCTAATGTTGTTGACTTAATACTACAATATATGACCGTGTCGTCGGCGTATAGAGCAAGGGAGACTTTGTCGGTAGGAGAGGAGAATGTCGCATGTATAGGGAGAATAATAAAGGTGATAGTAGAGAATAGCTTTTAAGGATCCTGTGGGCGGATAAATCTTCTCCTATTCCTATGACAAGTGACCTATTGCAAAGAAATGATTATAGCACGCGCATAAGGTATTCTGGCAACTTGTATATAATTTTATAAATAAGTCCTTCATGCCAGGCTCTATCAAAGCTTTTCCAATATCCAAGAATAACATAACTGTTGATTTTCTTGTCATTGAAGGCTTCTGTATTGTTCTCTAAGATCCTTATTACTTGCTGTGTTGTAGAGCGTTCTCCTCGAAAGCCAAATGGTGGGGGGGATGGCTACAAGATTTGTAGAAATTCCGAATTTTTTCAATCTGGGGAGTATTATGGATTCAGCAAATTTGTCAACACACGAAAGTAAACTAACTTACAGATAATATTGCTAGTATGGTTACTTTTTGTGTAAAAATAACTTCTTATTGTTTCCATCTTGTAACAGAATTTATTAATTTTGAAAGGTACTCAACAGTTACTGGTGTAAGATTTTTTAGCATTCAATTTAATATACCATTAGAGCCCATACCCTTATTAATTTTAATCTCTTCAATTTCAGTTTAAATCTCCTTTTCATTCGTAAACACCTGAGAATCTATAGGTGATGCGCCTTTGCGGAAGTAAGATTGTATTCAGTTATGCACGAAATAATTACTTGTATTAATAAAGATAGTGGAGGGCTTGTACTGAGGGGACAAGCTTTCTACGAATATGTTGGCCTTTTCCTTATTGGAATAAGCGATTTCTCCACATTCCCGTTTGAGTTTTAAAGATTTTGTTATATACTATATAGAATTATCGGACGAATTTAAGGACCGTAGCTTCATATCTCAAAGATTGTTATAAAAAGCATTTAATTCGCGTTTACCCACATTACTTATTGTTAAAGGCTAAGAGGTCACATGGAGCTCCTCTTTCCATGAACGTGCTTTTTATTCTTATACGTTTATTAATAAGTTGTTTAAGGTGCGAGCAAAGGTTATATTGAAAGTTATTTATAATTTTTTTTCTGAGTTGTTGATGAGTTCAATGAGTAATTTATTGTGCTTTTGAAAGAAGAGACAGCAGCATCAATTTCAAAGTAACAGGAAGGAAATCGGAGAGAGTGGTAAGTTATTGACCACTGTGTTTTTATACGATACCAACTGGGTACTCTAGGCTTCTCGCCGTGTAGGCCCCACTTAAGTCTCCAACCAGCAATAACACCCGGCCTTGATCTGATGATAATTCATGGTTAGTAATGTGCGCAGGAATAGAATTGTTCCTTAATAAAGTTATGTCTAACACATGAACGGAGGCTCTAAAGGAGCGTTCAAAGGGTCTAAAACAATAATTCCATTATTTTCCGCCCAATCTTCTACAATCTTGACATTTGGATTGTCCTTTCTGCTGTTCCATGGAGAAGGCTTGCTATTTAGGTCTTTACAAACATTGACCGGGTTAGTCTTGTTGAATAACTTATCTAAATTCTCCTTCTATGATTCTTTCCAAGGCGATTTATAACAGGAAATAATCTCCGCTGAACCAAGTTTTCTTAAGGTGATATATACACCGGTAGCCTCTAGATTTTAAAATTTTGGTAAATTTAATAGTGCTATATATTTCTCATAACAAATATAACTATGTCTTCACCATCCATGTTTTTCCCGATCTTGTCGATATGTGTCACAAGTTGGTATATAAAACTTATTGCCGTTTTTCAAGTGGGCTTTTGATTTAAAAATTAGGTCATTTTCTGGAGCTCCCGTTTTTACCTCCTATGCCATCGGCAATCTAGTAGAGTATTTTGGGATGATGCTTATTACTTGGTGGTTTCTTTGCGATTATTAAGTTTTAAAAATAAATCACTAATAGATTTTGATGTTTGAGTACTTATCGCTATAGTATAAAGAGTTGATTATTTGTTTAAAGATAAGTTCATCGAGATTAGTTGGTGGTGAGTATGTTTATTATTTAACGCTTGAGCGTAGCTTTTCGTAGAAGATACCAAGTTTTTCCCGCGTTTGAAATATAGGCTTATCAGTATATAGCTGTCTCTTCTCATCGGCGGTTTTTTAGGGTAATACAAAAAACCTCTATAGCAAGTAGTGTGGTGCACTCTTGGGTTTGTGTTCTATAAGTTTAGGGCAGGATACGGAGTCGAGGTTTTCTGCATATTTAACGCACTTGTATTGAGAAGTACAGAATTTATCGGTATGCCCGAATATTCGCATCGAAACATTAACCAATTCTACCAATTTTTTTTAAAGGATCTACTGAAAAGGAAATATAACCAATGTTTTTTCTTTAAATAAAGTACTTTCGTTCTGGGGTACTTTTACTAATACGACGGGCAAAGGGTTCTGTTTTGATCATATTTTCACATTTTAAAAACTTCATTGGGATGGAAGTCTTGACTTTTCAATTCTGTCTTAACCTCCTCTGTCTTCATTTCAATAAAAATTCCGCGAAAAACAACCTTAAGTCTTTTTCGGAAGGGAGGCGAGACGTGTAG